GTATGCGCCCGCCTCGTCGAGGCAAGCACGGTTTGGATGTCCACGTACTACCGTGGATCGATCTGATTCTCTTTCGCTTGCACAGCAGTGGCTAGGAAGTCCTGAAGACGTCCCAGCTCCCATCGTTCGCTAGTCCAGTCGCAGTTGAGCTTTTGCCAACATACTTGCGCGCATGGACATGGCCAAAACATGTGTTTTCAGCGTCTCTGCTACTCCACGGCAGCTTTATGCAACTGTTGTCACTTGCCCTTTCTGCATTGTAGAAGATTCAGTTGCCGTCGATACACGACCCATAAGTGACCGCAATAATAAACACAAGACAAAAGGCTGAATGAAAGAAAACGACAAGAAAGAGCATTCGCCACACTCCACATGACAGTATGCAAAAAACGTACAAGTGAAACAGCTGTCCTCAAATGACTAATCAATGCTATACATACACAAGACCCATTTTTTTCATCGACCGCACCAAAGCAGTCAATCCATCAATCCATCAAAAACACGCGCGTACAATTTCAAACGCGCGCGACTTTCAAAGTCTCAAACCAAACGTCCTAAACAAGATTGGTCATTCTCAATAATCTCGCGTCAAGTTCACATCAACACTTCCACTACTTCTTTCTCTTCAATGGAGACACCATCCCCACCACTATCACTACGGACCAACTACTTGGAACAACGTTTCAATCAAGGCCTTGGATTTGGAAGTGAAGAACTAGAGTCGAATGTGATGCAGTTACGATCAAGTTTGAACGAACGAGAGATGGAAACGATGAGGCACCAACTTGTTGGCGAGAAGGAAAGCCCACGCTTGCAGAATGCAAAGCTGAGGTTATCCTCAGCAGAACAGATCCAGTTAATTGATAGCCTGAAAGCTGATCAGCAAGTGGCTCTGGACACTATTCAGCAACTCGAGTCGGAATTGCACCAGAAGCGTATGCTCGAGAATGAACATGAACTCACGATCAAGAAGTTGGAGAGCAGGTTACAATATGCTGAACTCACCGAGAAATCGCGGCGTGCGATGGTGGACGAAAGCGTCAAACAGGAGCGCGCAAGGCTGAAGGCTCACATCGAGAGAATTGCGAAGGAGAGACGACAATCTGTTGGCGAGACAGAACGGTTACGTCTGGAGAATGTCAAGCTGACTACGGCCTATGAAGAGTTGACGACATCGCTAGATGGTTTAAAGGCTGACAACGAGCGGTTACTGGCATTGGACAAAGACCGCCAGATTATGGAAGAAGACAACTGTCGGCTGCGCCAAGAGGTGTCGAGGCTTTTAGATGGAACGTGAGTCGTGGGAGCATAAGCTTCAGGAAAGCGAGAAGAGGATTTCAAGCACATGGTCGACCCGATATGAAGATTTGCGCATGCAAAAGGAAGAGAAGATACGATCTCTTGAAGAAGACATTCGGTGTTCCCAGACCAAGATGGCCAAGGCAGAGGAGGTGCGTGAGTCCTGGGAGGATAAGCTGCACGAAAGCGAGAAGAGGATTTCAAGCACATGGTCGACCCGATATGAAGATTTGCGCATGCAAAAGGAAGAGAAGATACGATCTCTTGAAGAAGACATTCGGTGTTTCCAAACCAAGATGACCAAGGCAGAGGAGGCGCGTGAGTCCTGGGAGCATAAGCTTCACGAAAGCGAGAAGAGGATTTCAAGCACATGGTCGACCCGATATGAAGATTTGCGCATGCAAAAAGGAAGAGAAGATACGATCTCTTGAAGAAGACATTCGGTGTTTCCAGACCAAGATGACCAAGGCAGAGGAGGTGCGTGAGTCCTGGGAGGATAAGCTGCACGAAAGCGAGAAGAGGATTTCAAGCACATGGTCGACCCGATATGAAGATTTGCGCATGCAAAAGGAAGAGAAGATACGATCTCTTGAAGAAGACATTCGGTGTTTCCAAACCAAGATGACCAAGGCAGAGGAGGCGTGAGTCCTGGAAGCATAAGCTGCACGAAAGCGAGAAGAGGATTTCAAGCACATGGTCGACCCGATATGAAGATTTCGCATGCAAAAGGAAGAGAAGATACGATCTCTTGAAGAAGACATTCGGTGTTTCCAGACCAAGATGACCAAGGCAGAGGAGGGCGTGAGTCCTGGAAGCATAAGCTCACGAAAGCGAGAAGAGGATTTCAAGCACATGGTCGACCCGATATGAAGATTTGCGCATGCAAAAGGAAGAGAAGATACGATCTCTTGAAGAAGACATTCGGTGTTTCCAAACCAAGATGGCCAAGGCAGAGGAGGGCGTGAGTCCTGGAAGCATAAGCTCACGAAAGCGAGAAGAGGATTTCAAGCACATGGTCGACCCGATATGAAGATTTGCGCATGCAAAAGGAAGAGAAGATACGATCTCTTGAAGAAGACATTCGGTGTTTCCAAACCAAGATGACCAAGGCAGAGGAGGCGTGAGTCCTGGAAGCATAAGCTGCACGAAAGCGAGAAGAGGATTTCAAGCACATGGTCGACCCGGGGGGATATGAAGATTTGCGCATGCAAAAGGAAGAGAAGATACGATCTCTTGAAGAAGACATTCGGTGTTTCCAGACCAAGATGACCAAGGCAGAGGAGGCGCGTGAGTCCTGGAAGCATAAGCTGCACGAAAGCGAGAAGAGGATTTCAAGCACATGGTCGACCCGATATGAAGATTTGCGCATGCAAAAGGAAGAGAAGATACGATCTCTTGAAGAAGACATTCGGTGTTTCCAGACCAAGATGACCAAGGCAGAGGAGGCGCTTGCTCGAGCGAATCGCAACATTCAGGCACTGAAGCGAAGCTCTCGTGAGGAAGCACAACACGACGTTGATGCTTTGAAGGAAAGTAATCGGTTGCTGTTTGAGGAGGTTCAGGAGCGCCGGAAATCTGTCGAACATGCTCGGAAGCAGTACAGGCAAGCGGTTCGAGAGAACAAAGACCTACTGAAGGCGATTGCAACGTACAAAGATGCTATTATTGCTGGCCGCGATAAGGACATCGAAAAGTTCAAATCTGCTGCGATGAAAAACGCACAGCAGCTGAAGCGACGTGGTAAATTTGGCGAGGTGGAGCAGACGTTGAAGGAGCAGCTGAAACAAACCCAGCACATGATCACGGAGACATATAAGCGGTTGGAGAACAGTCCGATTGTTCGTGGCTCTGTAGTCAACGCTTCAGACAAGGAGGAAAGACCCGAGGTAGCTAATTTGCAGCTGGATGCATTAGTCCGCCGGATGCACGTAATATCTGAGCGCTGGGGTGACTTATTGACGCAATCTCAAGAGCTGCACCGACGATACGGTAAACAAAGTGCCTGGAAATCAGCGTCGCGTGGATCTGATCGCACAAAAGACCAACTTCGTTGGGTTGACGATGTTGACTGTAAATGCTCTCGGCTTTTCACTGATACTGTGCGTGCTTTTGAAGCAATGCACAATATGGTCAAGAACATCGTAGGCGTACTACAGAGGGAACAAAACGAGAAGAAGCGCGTCAAGAAGGAGGGCGTCGTTCCTGAAGACAACACTATCTCGGTGAACCCGCAAGATGACATATCGTCTGCGTGGCTTCCACGTGATAGCGATTACTTTGATGGCAAACGGCGATCGCAAAGTGTTAGCCGACGGCACTTTGAAAGCCGAATCAAGCAGAATGGATTCGAAACGCCGTGCCGCAACCCCACGCCATCCGCTTCATCTCGTTGCAGTGCGAATAAGCGGTATGGCAGCTCTTTGTCCTCGCTAGCTCGCGTGGGCATGAAGGTACACGATTTGCAGACCGAGCTACGGCGTGCTCACGATTAGAAGCTCAATCGAGAGTTGTCAAGCTTTCAGAGCGTTCATTACTCGCTCTTGTCATGGCATAGCAGACTTTACTCGAATCTCACCAGCAGGCTCAGTTGATCGGGGCTCATTACCTCCGTTGAAACTGCAGATCCTAGCGTGTATTTGAGTAAGGTTGCGGGTGGCATGCTTCGTAGTGGTTGATGGGACTCATTACTCCTTTTTCCACCACAGCGTTTGCTTTCTGCCTGTGTTTCTGCTGTGCTTGGCATCCACTTTGAAAGCGTTTGATATGACAACTATGCTGATCCAAGCGTTAGTGCCGTAGGATATGTACATAATTTCTTACAAAGACAAGAGTAGAATTGAGCAAAGTAAAACAACATTGAGACTAGTACAAAAGGCTCTTTCAGAGATGTATATTATTAGTTCATCCGATCATTTCTTCCCTTACCAACCTCTTCTTCATGAACCACAGTCGCTCCGTAACAATAGGAAACACGTCGACAAGACGTGAGCTGCTGAGCTGGAGAAGAAACGTTCTTGTCAATACGATTTGATTTGGAAAACATGTCACGCGGTCTCGCTGATGCACGCGCTTGATAGATAATGCCCTTGCCAAGGGAGATACCACCACAATCGAGTGTTCATTCAAACGCACAATTAAATGCTCACTCGGTCCTTCCACCTCAACGCCCGATACTTCACCATCATCGTCAACATGTAGATGAATGGTCATCATCCTCAACATATTCTATAAGCTCAAACTTGTGCCGAATGTTGATCCATGTCACTCGTCCTCAATCATAATGTCCCCATCAACTCTATGCGTGTTATTTCGTGAACAGGTGAGTAGCCCCGTACAGCCGCCAGACTCGACCGAGGAACCGGCGTTGCTAAACAGGCTTAGGCTCTACCCAACATCTTGCAAACCTTAACTACGTACCATATAGAAGATTGTCTGCCTTTGTCGATCAAATAAGAACATGTGGAAGGCAGGAAAGATGTCAGCAACAATTGCAGACCATTCTCAGGATAGCTCACAAGACACACATGTTGTATTCACATGATCATTACCAAGCGACATGTTGAGTGGTCAATGGTTCTCGGGTCCATTGTCACCTTGCTTTGGTGACCAGTGTTGGTCAAAACTTGTCAAGTTTCGACACTAGAGGACGTCCAACAGCAACAAATACCTAGCTGCTGCCACTGCTCCCGTTCACCTCTGGTTTACCAGTTGTCATTAATCCTGATCAGCTTCTTCTCCACGTCTTCAAATCGCTCTGACCCACAGCGATCGCGATGGAAATAACCCTGAATACGCTGCTTCTCCGCTTCGCTCAGTGCCTCAAGGCAAAACTTGAGATGCGCCGGTGTCAGGTCTTTTCGTGTAATCAGTCCACGCACTTCATTACGCCGGTTCAGCACAATGAGATGACGTAGTCCCAATGATCGAAACAGACGGAAAGCACGCGGTACTGGAGTCTGCTCCTGGACAGTGTACGGCGTAGTATTCATGTATGGTGTAAGATCCATCCACAAACCTCGCTCCTCCTCGTCTAGTTGAATGTCACTGACGGATGGGTATCGTGGATAGCTGCCTTCCATGTCCCGATATGAAAGCGCGTACTGGTCATTGTACAATAGCGTTGTGTCACCGGCAGGAATGCGAACAAAGGGTTCTGGCTTCTCGACAAAAAAGTCCTTACGCTGAAGTAGCACAGCCAAATGGTGTCGATTGATTATACCTGAGAAGCGAGGAGACCTTCGTTTAGCGCTAAGATTAGGTTGTTGCCCACCACCTGCAGCATCCTGACTGCGGGGCACAATCACTGGAAAACCACCGTGATTACAATTCTTCAGCACATCGTAAATCTCACCGACCTTGGCAATCTGCGGTACGCACGTTGGAGGTGAGCTTATGACGTTAAGGGCACGCAGAAAACGCGCGTAATAAGGCGGATCAAACTCAAGAAATGGCAAATGGTTCAAGTGAATGTGGATGTCGTACAGACCCTCGTTGAAACTGTTGCCAACCCAGCAAGCAGCCATAAGGGACACCATAATGGGAAGACCCCACTCGATCACGCCCGTATACTCAAGGATAATCACCGTCAGCGAGATAGTCATACGTGCCATGCCACCAAACATACTGGCAGCACCAATTAGAGCGAACATACCATCCTGAGCGCCCACAGGGAAGTCGAGGTAGTGAAACGAACATCACACAAATGCGACCATAGGCTGCGCCAGCGAGTAAGCTGGGCACGAACAAACCCGATGGCACAGCAATACCGTAGGTCCAATGCGCGAACATATAGAACACAACGAAGAACATGCACAGCGAAAACGGCGTGAAGCTGTCATCACCAGTGAAGTGCAGCAACTGCTTCATGCTCGTAGCGTAATTCACGGTGAAAAGAGACGCCATATCATTGAACTGACCCTCCGGACAGTAAAACCGCGAAAAGTGAGTCGCTATAGTCGCCAGCGAGGTTGCGGCACGTGCCGAAAAAGTAAGACAGCCAAAACGATGCCGTTGCCATGCTGAAAGCGATCAGCAAAGCCTCACCGAAACGCAGGTAGCGGTGAGTCACGTAACGCTTCCTAAACTGGGTCAATACCATGTTGGCACCGTTAAAAGCAGCTCCTGCGAGTCCACCAATCATACCCATCACGATGAACACAGGAACGTCAAGCGCCTCGTAGGCCATGCTGCCTTGGAATTGGCCAAATGAAAAGGTTCCCGTTTGCGTACCCAAGGTACCGCCAATGAACCCATGCCCCACATTAGGTGTCGGTTCGGCCGACTCATTGGCCTCGATAAAGGCCATGAAGTAAATTCAAGACGAATGTGGACACCATGGCGCAGAAAAACGTACGCCACGTAAGGTTCTGGTGCCAGAAGGAGGCACCCTCCTCAAGTGCAAACAGAACACCACCAATGGGAGCACCAAATGCAGCTGCCACACCAGCAGCAGCGCCACACGAGATGAAATCACGCTTCTCTTTGTCGTTGCGGAAGCCCTTGAACTTGGTCCAGCTCGTATCCACTCCAAAGCTTGAGGACTTGCCTTGTGATAGATAACCCAGCACCAATAATTGAGCCGCTATGAATCATAGGACCTTCCTTACCACTCGGTAGTCCACCAGCCATGCTAAAAAGGATGCCAAACGCCTTGCAAAACAGCGTTTTCAGCCGCACGACACGGTGGATCTTGATCCCGTTCAGTGTCGCTTTGATCGTAGTGCTTTTGCGGGTATTATAGGTACAACACTTTCTATGTTAATTAGAATTGAGTTATCACAACCGGGTAATCAAATTTTTATGGGAAATCACCAATTATATAATGTTGTTGTAACTGCTCTTGCTTTTATTATGGTTTTTTAGTTATGCCTGCTTTAATTGGTGGTTTTGGTAATTGGTTTGTTCCTTTAATGATTGGTGGCTTTTCCTCGTATGAATAATATAAGTTTTTGGTTATTACCCCCAGCTTTATTATTATTAGTTTCATCAGCTATTGTTGAATTAGGCGCGGGTACAGGTTGGACTGTTTATCCACGATCTTGCAATCTCCACTATACCACAGCAATTCAATGCCCAGGATCTTGACCATCCCTCACCGCTACAGCACTCGGCAACCAGAAGGCAAGTGTAGAAAGCACATCGATTTTGGGCAAAAACACGCCTGTGTTAAGATTGGGCTTCGATCCAGAGCCGTCACAGTATAGCTGAGCCAGCTTAAGCTATGCTTGGATGCCAGATAGCGAGCTGGAAAACAACGTCGAGTCGTCAGCAAAGAATTTATTGGCGGCGTTGTGATCGCTAACTATGTGGTGGACCGGTGATAAAAAAACTGTCTGTGGCCCCGACCTTCCACTGGCGCTCGAACTGTCGACTGACGGAGGGGGTACTCCAATACCGTATGCTTGTCCTTCTTCACCTTGTGTACCCTTCGACTGGTCGGGTTGCACTCTCCTCGGTGGACTTGCTCCGATCTTGATCGTGATGGGGTCTGGATCGAAGGTGGTTCGTCGCGTGAAAATCACCGATCGCAGTAAACAATGGCACTAAAAGCTGTCTTGATTCACTCTAGATCTTCTCTTTTCCCTTCCTTTTGTACCCTCTTGAGCGGTATAGTGGATCTTCTGATCGCTTAAGCCGTCTCGTAGAGGTCCCTTGCTTGAACGCTGCGTAATAGTCGAGCCAAAAATGGCAAGACAGATGTGGAGAATCACATTGAGCATCTGCGAGCTTTGCTCGGCTGCATGCGGATGCACAAGTTATATGCCAATATTGACAGATGTATCTTCGGTGCGGAAGAGATTCCCTTTCTGGTATGCTTCATTGGGAAGCAAGGAATTTGGGCAGACCCTGCCAAGGTGAAAGCCATAGTGGATAGGCCGGTTCCGAGGAACTAAAAGGACCTCCGCAAGTGGTTAGGTTGTCCTTGAAGGTCGAACCCTAATCCCTCATTGGTCGACTTTGGTCCCTCACGGTGGATCTGGATCGTTTAAGGTAAACCTCTGTCATTAGTCAGTAGACCTCAACCCTTTGAGGTTAACACTCGACCCTGGTACCTTGAGGTCGACCCTGGACCCTTAATGTCCAGCTACCCCGGCTAATCAGCATTAGGATCTGTCTTTAATGGCAAGGATAAAGTAAAGGGATTAAAAGATAAAAACTATACTAAATACTACTCAATTTGCGATCAACGTGGCACGAGTTCATCACGCTTTAAAGGAACTTGTATAAGTCTTCCAACCTGTTTCATGAAGGAACACATTCTACCCCCCCCCCGTCAAAGACAGACGTGTGGTAAGACTCAAGTGCAAAGAGAGCCAGATGAAGCATCGTCAAAGTATGTCTTTGCATACACCCTATGGGCCGAAACAGCTGCATCACCAGACGACTGAACGTTGCAGGTGCGTTAGAAAGTCCTTGGGTATCACTAACCACTCCCAGAGCATACCGCTCGGAGTGCTGACCACTGTGAGCGGGATATCAATAGCTTGCATGAGCAGTTGGTAATACCCATCGACTAAGTCGAGGGAACTGTAAAGTGTACAGCGTTAGATGATCTCGGCGCTGAAACTTGGTCATGTTACCGCAAAGCAACAAATTATCGTGAATAAACTCGGAGGCCCTAGCTTATCCAGGGGTTGCCACCTTGTGAGCCCAAGGACCAAATAGGCCAGAGAAAGGGGGGACCGCAGACGAGAAGCGACCGCTCGACGATGGGCCCAAGAAAAAGGGTATCTAAAGGGGAAATGACCGTTGGAATGGAATATTTCGCGGTCAGAGCTCGCTGCTGGGGCAACGGTTAGTCGGCATGAAAAGGGGCGAATTGCGGTCTCTCAAGGTAGAATTCTAACATTACTTGCACAAGTATAGCCACAACTACGCGGAAGTGGCTAGGCCATTGTCAAATCTTCTTCAAAAGGATGTGAAATGGTGTTGGAACACCGAGCACCACGAGGATTTTGAAGCCATTAAGGAGAGTCTCCTGCAGGCGCCAATTCTGGCTTTGCCTTATCCTGATCGTCCGTTTAGCGTCGTGTGTGACGCGTCGGACTTTGCCATTGGCAGTGCACTTTTGCAAGTTGACGCTGAGGGTCGAGAACGCGTCATCGCGTTTGAGTCTCGCCAGCTGAAAGCTGCAGAGAAGAACTATCCAGTTCATGATAAGGAGCTACTTGCGATGAAGTATGCTCTTGTTAATTTCATGGTACACCTGTTGGGATCAAAGCCATTTGTGATTGATACCGATCATGCGTCGTTACGCACAGCGACACAGTCGCCTCATCTTCGCAGAAAATGGCTCGTTGGCTCTCATTTTTTGCGGAGTATAGCTTCGAGGTGAAGTATAAGCCGGGCAAACAGAATGTTTTGGCTGACGCGTTATCGCGTAGACCTGACTATGAGCTTGCTCATCTCACTGTTGTAAGGTCGTCAGTAGCGGATCGTATTCGTGCGGCGTATGCACGTGGCGAGGCATGTGTTGCCATTATGCAGGCGCTGGGTAGCGCAGAGTTTGACAACTCTAAAGTGAAGCTGTCACCGCGTAATCGTGCGCGATTACATCGCCATGTACTGACCGACGGTCTGTTGTACTATAGTACAGGGTCGGATGACCAGCCTCGTGCTGTGGTGCCCCATGATGAGGACCTCAAGTATCAGATACTTTATGAGGCTCATGATACACCAGTTGGTGGCCATTTAGGTCGTGAAAGACCTACAGCTTGGTGAGCACCCATAATGGCGGCCCAAGCTGTATAATAGGCTGGTACATATGTGCGCACGTGTGAAACGTGTCAAAGGGTGAAGCCCTCGCCTAACATGGCTGCGCCTTTGGCTAGTTTGCCTGTACCCTCGGGGTTGTGGCAGTTCACTAGTATGGACTTTGTGTTTGTCCTACCGTGTGATGCGGCAGGCAACACTGGGATTGTGGTCTTTGTTGACCGACTGAGCAAGATGGCTCACATAGCGGCAGTGCCGGACTCCATTGATGGAGAAGGAACAGCTAAGCTGTTCATGGATCGTGTGTTTCGACAACACGGACTGCCTGTGGCAATCGTCTCGGATAGAGACCCCCGTTTTACGGGTAAGTTTTGGACATCCGTCTTTAAAGTGCTGGGCACTCGACTGGACATGTCCACGGCGGATCATCCACAGACCGATGGTCAGACTGGACGCGTCAACCGCGTTATTGGCGATATGCTTCGCAGTATTTGTGCTGAAACACCCAAACAATGGGGCACGATGCTCCCTCTCATGGAGTTTGCGTTGAATAACGCGGTGCATGCCTTGACAGGCTTCACCCCATTCTATGTGAATGTTTGGTCAACCCTCGCGTTCCTTTAACGCTACCCCCTGCCATATCAGGGCTTAGTGGGGGGAGAGATAGCCGAAGGATTGGCTGATATTAGCCCTGTTGGGATGCGCAAGAAGGTGCAAGGTTTTCTGTCAACGTGGTTTGACGTATTACGTCGCGTCAAAGACGCTATGGCTGAAAGCCAGGATGTTCAGAAGGAACATGCGGATGCCAAGGCAGAAAGAATGACCAAGAGCTCATAGTGGATGTTTTAGCTTTGTTAACGCTAGGAATTTACCTACCCGTGCCGTTTCGGCAGTATATAAAACTAAATTACGACCACGTTTTATTGAACCTTTTAAGGTTGTAGACAAGAAAGGTTTAACCTATACGCTGAGCCTTCCGAAGAAGATGCGAACACATCCCGTGTTCTACGTAGGCTTACTTAAGCCATATCTCAACCCATCCTCGGTGGACTTCGAGGGCTTGTCCCCATACCCCCAGCCGGAGGAGGTGGGTAATACGGCACTTGGTGTGCATATGGACGCTGGATGCGTGCCAGGACACCGAAGCTCTGCGAGAGAACGTTCAATCGCCGCTAAGCGATCAGAGGTCTCCAAGCAATGACGCTCAAAGGAGCGAGGGTGTCGATCGACACGGTCATCGAGCGATGATAGGTGAGACGTCACCGACCCATTAGCATCATGCTCCAGGATAGTCAGGCGACGCTCGATCTCAGAGATATCATGGGTCAATGGGTCACCGGCCCCCACCGACGCTTATTGATGATATAATTCATTAACAGCTCTACGTTTGAGCGTCTCTTGGCGTGACGTATTCATCAGGGTCATACCCAGTAGGAGGCCGTTATCCCCGGTCGTATGACTCGTGGGAGTATGAGGTACCCCTCCGGCAGGATTGCCCTGACACCGCTGACACTTTTGACCAGGCCGGTCAGAAGCAGCAACAGAAGTAGTCGGACGCTTCCTAGCACTTGATGCTTCGAAAGCAAGGTCAGTAGGATGTCTTCGCTTTGGCCTTATGAAGAAGCCGACACCGGTACATCATTTGCGTGACAGGTACGGGCAACAGCTTCAGAATCTTGATCCCCGTAAGTCTTTGACTTACATGTGAAAGATATTTTGCGCGCTTAGCGAAATTAAAACAAAGACCACGTTCTAAACAAACTTCCTGCTCTTTAGCGCTTAAGCGCAATCAAGAAATACATGAAAGCCTTACAAGCTCGTTCAATCCAAGGGTGACCTGGTGATCGTCTTGCGCAGATGTTTCCCCCGATGCAAGCACCACTGGTATGTCGTTAACTGGATGCACCGGCACTACATGAAAGTACAATTTAGCCGTAAAGTCTTGTAGAGCAAGGAGATGCTTATGAAATGCGGCACGGTCCGCAACCCCGCAAGCGTTGCGGGCCTGGGACCCAATGATATAGGTACGTAAGGTTTGCGATGCAGCTCGTCGAGCTTCCTCACTGGGATCCCGGGCACGAACACATAGTCAAGACATGAAAAGACTTGTTTGGGTCGCGTCAAGGCGGACGCTGGGGCCTCGTTATCAAGTTGAAGACGCTGTGCAACGTCAAGAGGGTCAGATACCTCTTCATCGGCAACCTCACTAGAGGAAAGTGGTGGCGCTTGACGCAACGCAGTTGCTCCCCTTGGGGAAGAGGACACAAAGTGGGATCGCCGTTTCTAGCTTGGAGAGCGTGGTAATCTTAGGGTACCATGACTCAAAGGAAACTCGTTGCCGCTGGACCTAGTCGCTGTCATATTCTTCAAAGATATCACGACTCATTGATTTACCGATGATGTGGTAGCGTGACTGCTTCGGAAGAAAATCGCGAAGCGTATGACGCTTTGACTTTATTAACGCGCAGAGCACACAGGCATGACGGTGCTCGAGGAGCAAGTGTTCAGAACACTGTAATGCTTAAGAAGCAAGTGCTAGACACTTAAGCCAGTGGTCGTCAACACTAAAGGGTTTATTACCAAGTGCTAGGCACTTAACGCTTCTAAGCAAGTGTCGTGGCACTAAGATGCTTTAGCGCAAGTGCAATGCACTGTATGCTTGAAGAGCAAGTGTCTAAACACTAGGATGACTAGAACCATGAGTGTAATGCACTAGATGCTCAAAGAGCAACTGTCGTAGCACAAAAGCTATGTACGCAAGTGCGAGGAAAACAAAGTGGAAAAATTAAGATCGACAGTGTTCTACATTAAGTTCGAAAATCGTGGGTACGTTGGATCCCACGGATTGGTGGGGGGGAATGTAAAGGGTTTACACAAAGGTTTGTATTATACATACAAACCTGTCACAACATTATGGTGTTGCTGTACCTTGGGTGCACTGGTAGGCCTCTTTTATGTATAAACAGTGGTCGGTGTAGCTCTGGCTGAAATCGAGCGACTTCAATATGTCGTAGAGCATCCAATCACATAGCCTTACAAATTGTTATAGGCCGTACAAGACTTTCTTGAGTCTCAGAAAGATCTGTATATTATCCTTCACCTTAAGACTTTCCATTAATTTGGCGTCAATGTCCACCCCTGCGGAATATGATTTTTTAAACCTTCTTTCTTGTCGGTTTTGACGTAAGCACTTGGTACATCGTCGTGACGCGCACGCAAGCCCTTGATTATTGACACCGCGAGAATCACCTTGCCAGATACTATCTTTATCACAGCCAAGAATGTGTATGTATAACCGACGCGATCCACTTATTCATCGGCACGTGCCACTAGCCTCGCTTTGTACCTCTCGATAGTACCGTCGTCGTGCATCATGAGCTTATCCACCCACTTACTTAATAAAAAAATGGGCGACACGGGGCTTCTGTACCACTTCTTAAGTGTCGTTGTGCTTCAATGCCTCAAGTTCCGTTCGCATTGCCTCTTCTACTGTTTCGACCCGCGGTCTTTAATCTCATTGCAATAACTATTTGGGTCCTTATGCAATACTGTACTCACCCGGCTTACGGGTACGTGATTGGAGCCTATGTTGCGCGTTCGCATGTGATTAAGCGTTTCGTCCTCGGCGTGCAGTTGTTCAACATCGCCTTTAGACTACAATGAGTCTTCATCTACCATTAATCTCCCTTTTTGCCTTTTGATGAACTCTTCTTTGGCTTAGATGAGACCTTCTTAGACTTTGCCGGCATCATTTAAGACTTTGGTGTGATCTTCTCTCGCTGTGGGAGAGCTGTCTCTGGCTCCTTCCAATTATCGACCTCGTCCTGCTCTAGTACAGCGCGTTGCAGATCAAGGTCTTCACACTCCATATGCGCCTGTAGCTGTAGATTTTGATCACTGTTAGGCATCTCAGCATTTCGAACGCTCTGCGTCGTGATAACAATTCTCTCATATGGCAGGTAAACCCTAAAACCCTTGGTTTCATCATTTTTGCCGATTATCGTTCAAACATGAGATCTTGGCTTCGACGCTCTTTTGCCAACGTTTCTAGAAACCGAGCAAGTACTTCCGAAATTCATATATCCGCTAAGTTCGATCAGTACCTGTCAACATCTCGATAGGCGACATACGTTTCGTATTGGTGCTGCACGAGCTTCAGTATACAACATACACCGCGCAATTAATGACATCGCCCCAAAAGGACATCGGCTGACCACTTGCAAACAGAATGCACCTTGCCATGTTGAGTATCATCCTGTGCATTCTTACATCTTTCCCCGTCCAATCTTGGCTTTTGCTGACATGGCGTTTCACGCCAGCCGACTTGAAAAACGGGTCCACGTTGACGTACTATTTACCACCATCTGTGCGCAACATGAACGCGACAATTCAATCTCTTCGTAAAGTACAGTATAAAGAGTTTAAAATATTTTCCTGGTCGCCTCACCTTCTTCTTTGCGACCAATACGCGGATGTAGTTGGTCGAATAATCAACGAAATTGATCACCACGCCTGTCCTTCTGTGTCTTGATACTACTGCCGATGACTTCGCCAAGTTTGCCAATCGGTGCGTTTCTTCCCGTAACCTTTTTTGTACTGGTTGATTTTACTTTGCTTGCCCTGCGCGCAAATCAGACAAGTAGGCCGAGATCGATCCGTTAGTCGAATTTACGATTCCGCCGAGTCAGCTATTCGTACAACAGTGGGACGTGGTGCGTCAAGCGGACAAGATGAAGGTATTTCAAGTTTTTGGCCGCAATGACGTTCTAACACTTGACGTAAAGGACAAATTAACAAAAGATGAACAAGAAAGAGGGGTCAGTTCGGCCGTGCAACAAGTCTATGACAGGGTTGACGAAGCCGTCACTGAGACAGCACTTCTGGAACTCCACCAGCAACTCGTCCATCCAAGCTGTGGTTGCCGTTTCTTTCAAGACTAACTTTCCTCTCTTCCGATAAACCATAGCTGATGATGTGGTCAGCTATGTCGTATGCATACCAAACTTCAGATATGTCAACAATGACCTCTTGTCTATCGATCACTGTTCTCAGTTCAGCTGTTCCGACCTTATTCACTCAGAGCATAGTGTTATTCGACGTGCGACACGTATGGCTAAATACACTGCAAACTTCAGCATCCTCGATCCCTTTACGAGGTGCAAGCTTGACCCATTGTCTACGATCAGACAGTAGAGCTAGTAAAAGTACCGGCTTCAACGTCTAATGCGAATCTTTTGGATTTCGGGCCGGCACCGCTCTTTTTTCTTGGGGCAATAACTTTAATGTGCCCGGCTTCACCGCATCCATAACATGTTCGTAAATCGTAGGTCCCAACTCGTGCGACGTATCCCCCTCTACGCCCACCTTCGTACACTCGCCCATTGCTGGTATACTGACATCCTTGTCCATTACCTGAGCGTTCATCACGACCGCCTCCGTTTCTTTGCTTGCTAGTGTCTTCAAGGTCAATTGCCAAATGCAATCAATTCGGCGGCTTGCACTAGATAATAATAAGTCATCTGGGCGTTTAGCCTAGCCCATTGAGACCTAGATGTATGCAGGAGCTGACTTGCACAAATATTCAGCACACTCTGTTCCGAGTAATGCGACCGCTCCACTACGTACACCAAGTACTGATAGTGCTTGAGCCACGTCCTACTGCGATACTTCTCAATCGTCATCAATTATATTCCTTTTGTCGATGGTATTGGTGTCGTGTATAGCATCAACATGCTGTTCACGACATCTTCCAGAGTGTTTGATACCGCCGTCTATACTGGCAGCATCTTTTCACAATAATTCAGAGCCGAGCCTTCCAGATTTCTACTTATTGCGATAATCTTAACCCCCCTCCGGCCATTCGTCTCCACTAATGAGTGGAGGCGAATGGCATACATTAGTGGAGGCGAATGGCCGGAGATTGTTAAGATTATCGTCAAGCCAAATCGCTGTAGAAAGCCGATTCCCCACGCTTTGAAGTCAGCGCCTACACCCACGTAAGTCTTTTTTACTGAAAACTGAGCGATACAAGCCAGTCCAAGTCCCAAGGATTCGGTAATTTCTATTCCATAGCCCTTCTGTGGCACAAAATGCTGCGCTGAGGTTGGTTGCACCCTTTGTTGTAGCGGCGAATCAAGCGAGGAAATGCGCGGGATTGCAGTCAGCGCGACGATTGGCATCGACTAGTCACGCGATCCTCTTCTCACGCGATAGTCTCGCGCTCGGATGAAGTCTGAAAATGCACTTGAACGATTGAACGAGTGCTCGGAGGGAAGCGTGGTCTTAGTTTCAGCCCGGCGGCTCAACTGATCTTGAATATTATGTTGGTTCGTCATGAACTGGGCTTACTTGCTCTGCAATCCCCTTGAGGAGTCCTTCAAGTCGTTCTAGGCGCTCAGATCTCACGTCAGAAGCTTGACTCGCGCTGTCTTGGGCCTCGGAGTTACCCGAGACCGATCGCACCTCCTCTCGCATCTCAGATGGTTCCGTGCGCTCACGTACGTTTTGGAAACATCTCGTGACGAAGTGAACGAGTGGCGGTGGGTTCAGTGTGTTTTGTTCTCATGACTTGTTCAACACGGGCTGATAGTTAGACGGAAAGTTGAAGCTAAATGTGTTTGAGAGTCTGATCCTAGTTATCGCTGTCCTGTGATGAAGCGTTTCAAAGACTAGAAGCCCAAGGACCGGTGGATCAAAGAGAAAGGGGATCGCCAATGAGAAGCGACCGTTGGGTAAGGAAAGAGAGAAAGGATGCCAGAAAGAAGAGGAAAACGATCGTTGATGGGAAGAATTCGCGGTCAAAGCCCGCTAGTTGTCCCCCAATCAAAGGAGTTTTCCGCATTTCAGTCGGGTAAACCGCGGTCCCTCCAGGTAAACCACAGACCTTCAAGGTCTCCCTGGTCTATCATTGGAAGACCTCGATCTTTCAAGGACGAACATGGTCTATCGTTGGTAGACCTTGGTCCTTCATCAGCTAACCTCGGTACCTCAAGGTGGAAATCGACCTTGGTCCTTCGCCAATGGACCTCAGTCCCTCAAGAGTAGACCTCGTACCTTCGTCGGCGAACCTTCGACCCTAGTCCCTGGAGGTCGACCTTGGTCCTTCGCCAATGGACCTCGGTCCCTCAAGGTAGACTTTGGTCCTTAGTCGATCGATTTCGGTCCAGAGGTCCAGCTACTATAGCCAATCAGAATCAAGAATTAGGTCTCAGGATAAGATAGAGTAAAGGAGTTAAAAGATAAGGCTATATTAAATACTAGTCAATTTGCGATTTATGTGTCACGCCTTCGTCGTGACTATAAGGAACTTGTATAAATAAGTCTACCTACCTGTTTTGAAAAGGGATGTGTTTTTGGCCCTTGTCGAAGACAGTCGTGTGTAAGATTTTAAGTGTGAATAGAGCCACAGAATATATTTGGCCTGTGGGTTCGTCTGAGTAGCACCCCCCATCGACCCGCTATCGGAAGAGGTCTCCCTACCCTAGCGGTTCGGGAGCAAGTAAAGTTCAGGCTGTAATACACCTGAGTTTCGAAGGAAAAGGCCAGGGTCGAGAAGCTTCCCTAAAGAACTTGGTTATAAGCACACCCTCGACCTAGGCGACCGAGTGGTCGGTCACCTACTAGCCTACCGAGTGTAGCATATCCACTCGAGGCACCCCAAGGTCGACCTCTTTCAAGGCCGACATCGCATCTTCACCAAGTCTTCTGAAGAGCGCAACCCGCCAGCCGACGGGTACAAAAGATGAGAGAAGGTCCATCCATACGCGGCATCGGAGTACTCCTCCGACAGGCGGCAGTCCGGCACAGTGAGTGGCTTGGGGTCTCATCACGCAGTTTTGAAAACCCGCTCCACCAGGTTTCCTTACCTTTAAATTCCTCTGCGTCGGTTTCTTCGAAACACTCCTAATGATCGCGTCTTTCACGCCACAGTCGCATTCATTTATGTCAACAGCTGCGCCTTTTCATCTCGGTAGTCGCTCTGATTCAACAGTTGCTTTGCTACGGTAGCTTTGCTACAGCTTATATAATACCGATGTATTTTGTTATTATCTTTTCTAGCACTAATATAGAATACCTTATCTATACTAGTGTAGTCACTATATTAAACTGGCTGCGGCCTTCTTAGTATATGCACGTATATATCCATCGCACTTAACAAAGTACTAGGCCACGTTGCTTCCTGCCATGATGGAAAATTATTGTACTTCAAGCAAAGAAGTGTGAGCCCAAATGTACCCAAAGTAAAGCCACACTAAACTGGTGTGGCAGGGTGTCTCTGAATCATACACACCTGAGAAAGTAAAGACAGGAAACGCCACAAAGGTATATAAGAAATGCAATACAGGACAGAGAACGAGCCACTAGCACCCGAATGAAACGATTAATAAGCAGCGTCTACCTGCTATTTGCTCGATTGTCAAGACCAATGTATTGTCAAAGGGAGTTAGTGCTGGATAGAAATAGACGACATTCGACCATTTAAACCTATTTTACATTGTTACACGCGGTTATATTTGACATTGGACCAGTGATTTACTAGATTTTGTTCGAACAGCGACGATACAACACGTGCTGATTCATACAAAATGTAGCATCATTCGACCCAAAGACGATGCTAGGAAACGAAATCGACGCGGAAGGCGATATGCGGGGCATTCTGAAAGAGTGTCTACACTGTTATCTTGTCATGGCACTTTTGTTGGTGCTAAGTGAAACTAGTGCGACTTATGTGCCTTGAACAAGAATGCAAATGGATCTAGCATTGCGTCAGTCTAATGAAGGACATTGATAGCGAGATGGTTCATCCCAGATCTGACAGAATTGACACGGATGGACATAACGCAATTGAAATAAAATGCACGTCTCCTCTTAACTAACTACAGTGACCAACAGGATGTAAGTAAAGGTTGTTCAACAGGAATAGGAGGATTTACGATAGGACCTTCATTGTCCTTGTATGCAGCGACAGTTTGCAGCTTTCCATCGACATGTGAGTGACCACACACAGCAGCATTGCAAGGCAAGAAACTGTTTTCATATATAACAACGTTACAAGGTTGTCCACCCTTCATGCCTATGCTGCCAGTGTCCTGTCTGCATTTGTTCCGTACAATTTGCTACTTTGAGTAGACGGGGACGTATTCGACCACGCCTTGTTTGTTCACGATTGTCTTCTTTATATTGCGCAACTGCTTCTTGCTCATGGTCTTGAGTCGATGCGTACGCGAGATCTACACAATCCAATAACAGCAGCAACATACGAACAAGTCAACAATTAAATACAAGATAGCACAATGAGACGTTTGTTCGCGCACCACTTGGACAGCAGCCGACTTGAGTTCGTTCTCTTTCCGGCGTTTCTCTTTCTCTTCACGTGCCTGACGCTTGGCATCACGCTCTGACTGTCGTCTGTTTTTGATCTCTTCCTGTAGTGCCTTCAGTTCTTTTAGCTTGGTGCGTTTAAGCATTTTCTCCTCCCACGTCGAGCTTAGCACCTTGGTTCCCGTATAGCCCTGTGCCGAAAAACGCGTCTTCTGTACTTTTTTCCACACACGACCACTCACAGGACGACCACGAGGTGGTGCAGTAGCTGCAAGTATCGTCTTGCTGGACTTGGATGCAGTCGTCGTCATTATATGCACCGCCTCCACTCACCCAATATGTTTGAGTCTTTTTGATTGAGTGGAGCTTGCTAACATGTCTTCAAGCAACATTCGACTGGTCGTTTAATGTCGCTTGAAGGTCATTTTTTGACCTAAACTACCACCTGACATAATGGTCGCACCACCAGGATGCTGCGAGATCTGCCAGATTGGAGAGGTATTAACAGACCCTCAGCTCCAGAATCGATCAGTGAGGATTACAGGGAGACTGTATGCATACGATGCACAGCTTAAAGTGGCAACAGTGTCTTTCCAGAACGTTTCAATGACTATCGAGACGCAAAGATTGGCACTTGAAAATCTGCGATTGCAACTTGGGTCCATGTACCAGTTTCTGGGTGAGACATATGTTATGACTAAGGTACTGGATGTGCTTGTATTGAGAAACATGTATCTGTGGCTTCATTTATCATGTATGAACTTTATTTGCAGGAAGGACAGACTGAAGTTCGACTAGTGGCTCGGGTTGCGCGCAACGTTGATAGCTTGGACATTGATCTTTTTTTGGAGGCGTTAACATTGCGGCGGCAATTTCTAGCAGCTCAAACGTAGTGTAATACTTGGCAAAACACTGCACTATGATTTACCAATTGAATGGATGGACTCAATTCATTATTTGGTCCTCGACGTGACCAGTCAATCTACAACAAATCATCATCCGACTCGTCATCGTCAAAATTGTCCTCATTAAAATTCTCGTAAATGGAGCGAGTAGATCCAGTAAAGTTGCTTTCTGGTCGTACCGCAGTCTTCTCATCGGACTTTGACAATGTTGTCGTTGCAGCACAAGCGGAAGTCATTGCTGCTCCCTCCTTCAACTTTACACTCTTTGTTGCACCACCATTAACGTTCTTGGCCACTGCATCTCCTGTTACTATGTTCTGATTATCTGTCGTCATTGCCTTGGTTGCCTCTGCTAGTTCTGGCGGGTCGTACTTGTGCAGCGCTTGTCGCCACTTGCGTATGATTCCATCAAAACCCTTCTTACCGATGCGCATGGTCTTGTCTGGTGTCATCGGATGTTGCTTTGGATGACGCTGTCTCCTTGGCACTTGAGCACAATAGCGATCGTACCCAATTGTGTTCTTACCATAATCAATCTGCTTTTGACGCTGTGCTAATCGGTGCGGATCCGTCTCCTTTTCATCTGCCAATGTCTTTACAGTTGCAATAGCAATTCCAATATCATTTGTTCTTTCTTCTACATAATGCATACGCTTGTAGTCTCGTTCATTCGTGCTTTGAATACTATTGCAATCACGATACCCTGAGTCTCCTCCATTTATGATGTCAGCCCTACGCTTCATACTTGATGTTAAATGGCAGGCAAGTGTATTTTCGTTAAGGCTAATGTTACAAATGGTTACAAAACATACAGAACTAGTTCTGTACGTCGATGATGTATCCTTATGAGGCGGCATATTGTAGATCGATTCTTTCACTTGACGTGCTGCAAAAAAGCAATAATTGAGGCCGTAGCTTATATAATTAGAAGAATTGCTATCATCAGGTTGTGCACTACGTCCTGTTCTTTATCTCGGCAATCAATCCGCTTGTGCCATAAACATCAACATGCAAGATGCAAAAGGGTAGGAATTGTGTTTGTGTAAAGAAGCAGAGGAAGGAAGATGTGAAGTGGGATGTTATGTTGGACGGTAGTATTTGCGGCATCTTTTGCGACGTGGTATGCACTTGGCATGATTGACAGGTGTAATATACCTCTGAGATTACAAAATGTATATGTTGATTGATACGACCAACAAGACCAATGTACATGTGACACCATGTCAAATGAAGTATGCAGCAAATACGTTCTAGACTCAATAAATACACGAGGGTGTCATCTTCACCATGAGAGAAGCTCGATCCGGTTGGTAGCGCGGAATCGGCAGCTTTCAATTGACATACCGATTCCCGCCTCGATGTTCGTGTCAAATCGAACTTCGAGGCGGGAATCGGTCTGATTGACAAGAAAGGCGAAGGCATGCTGACATATGTCTCAACAAAGTACCTAAGCAACTTGATTGACATCAAAATGTGGAAGTTCTACAACCATCAATGACATCAAAAATGTAGAAGTTCTGCAGCCATAAGTGACATCAATAAGAAGAGAGTGGCAGACAATCTTCTATTGGTACGTAGTTAAGATTTGAAGATGTCGGGTAGATCCTATGACTGGTTAGCAACGCCGGTTCCGCGGTCGAGTCTAGTGGTTGCACGGGGATAGTCACCTGCGGTAACGGCTCTCGAAGATGACGGCATTGTAGCCGATATGCACCGTTGATGGTCGTTTCTGCGCATCGGCTCTCGCGCTTACCGATTGCACGTAGATGTTGCATTCATTTCCTAGGTCTCCTGCACGCTGCCTTCGATGGTCAGGTTCGACTGCTGAAACGTTGCCTGGTTTCTTTGTATCCATAAGCGAGCAATGCATATGCTGCTCAGGATGATCCATAGGCGCCGCCACACATTGACGTATGCGCCCGCCTCGTCGAGGCAACACGGTTTGGATGTCCACGGACTACCGTGGATCGATCTGATTCTCTTTCGCTTGCACAGCAGTGGCTAGGAAGTCCTGAAGACGTCCCAGCTCCCATCGTTCGCTAGTCCAGTCGCAGTTGAGCTTTTGCCAACATACTTGCGCGCATGGACATGGCCAAAACATGTGTTTTCAGCGTCTCTGCTACTCCACGGCAGCTTTATGCAACTGTTGTCACTTGCCCTTTCTGCATTGTAGAAGATTCAGTTGCCGTCGATACACGACCCATAAGTGACCGCAATAATAAACACAAGACAAGAGGCTGAATGAAAGAAAACGACAAGAAAGAGCATTCGCCACACTCCACATGACAGTATGCAAAAAACGTACAAGTGAAACAGCTGTCCTCAAATGACTAATCAATGCTATACATACACAAGACCCATTTTTTTCATCGACCGCACCAAAGCAGTCAATCCATCAATCCATCAAAAACACGCGCGTACAATTTCAAACGCGCGCGACTTTCAAAGTCTCAAACCAAACGTCCTAAACAAGATTGGTCATTCTCAATAATCTCGCGTCAAGTTCACATCAACACTTCCACTACTTCTTTCTCTTCAATGGAGACACCATCCCCACCACTATCACTACGGACCAACTACTTGGAACAACGTTTCAATCAAGGCCTTGGATTTGGAAGTGAAGAACTAGAGTCGAATGTGATGCAGTTACGATCAAGTTTGAACGAACGAGAGATGGAAACGATGAGGCACCAACTTGTTGGCGAGAAGGAAAGCCCACGCTTGCAGAATGCAAAGCTGAGGTTATCCTCAGCAGAACAGACCCAGTTAATTGATAGCCTGAAAGCTGATCAGCAAGTGGCTCTGGACACTATTCAGCAACTCGAGTCGGAATTGCACCAGAAGCGTATGCTCGAGAATGAACATGAACTCACGATCAAGAAGTTGGAGAGCAGGTTACAATATGCTGAACTCACCGAGAAATCGCGGCGTGCGATGGTGGACGAAAGCGTCAAACAGGAGCGCGCAAGGCTGAAGGCTCACATCGAGAGAATTGCGAAGGAGAGACGACAATCTGTTGGCGAGACAGAACGGTTACGTCTGGAGAATGTCAAGCTGACTACGGCCTATGAAGAGTTGACGACATCGCTAGATGGTTTGAAGGCTGACAACGAGCGGTTACTGGCATTGGACAAAGACCGCCAGATTATGGAAGAAGACAACTGTCGGCTGCGCCAAGAGGTGTCAGAGCTTTCAGATGGAACGTGAGTCCTGGGAGCATAAGCTGCACGAAAGCGAGAAGAGGATTTCAAGCACATGGTCGACCCGATATGAAGATTTGCGCATGCAAAAGGAAGAGAAGATACGATCTCTTGAAGAAGACATTCGGTGTTTCCAGACCAAGATGGCCAAGGCAGAGGAGGTGCGTGAGTCCTGGGAAGCATAAGCTGCACGAAAGCGAGAAGAGGATTTCAAGCACATGGTCGACCCGATATGAAGATTTGCGCATGCAAAAAGGAAGAGAAGATACGATCTCTTGAAGAAGACATTCGGTGTTTCCAGACCAAGATGACCAAGGCAGAGGAGGCGCGTGAGTCCTGGAAGCATAAGCTGCACGAAAGCGAGAAGAGGATTTCAAGCACATGGTCGACCCGATATGAAGATTTGCGCATGCAAAAGGAAGAGAAGATACGATCTCTTGAAGAAGACATTCGGTGTTTCCAGACCAAGATGACCAAGGCAGAGGAGGCGCTTGCTCGAGCGAATCGCAACATTCAGGCACTGAAGCGAAGCTCTCGTGAGGAAGCACAACACGACGTTGATGCTTTGAAGGAAAGTAATCGGTTGCTGTTTGAGGAGGTTCAGGAGCGCCGGAAATCTGTCGAACATGCTCGGAAGCAGTACAGGCAAGCGGTTCGAGAGAACAAAGACCTACTGAAGGCGATTGCAACGTACAAAGATGCTATTATTGCTGGCCGCGATAAGGACATCGAAAAGTTCAAATCTGCTGCGATGAAATACGCACAGCAGCTGAAGCGAGGTGGTGAATTTGGCGAGGTGGAGCAGACGTTGAAGGAGCAGCTGAAACAAACCCAGCACATGATCACGGAGACATATAAGCGGTTGGAGAACAGTCCGATTGTTCGTGGCTCTGTAGTCAACGCTTCAGACAAGGAGGAAAGACCCGAGGTAGCTAATTTGCAGCTGGATGCATTAGTACGCCGGATGCACGTAATATCTGAGCGCTGGGGTGACTTATTGACGCAATCTCAAGAGCTGCACCGACGATACGGTAAACAAAGTTCCTGGAAATCAGCGTCGCGTGGATCTGATCGCACAAAAGACCAACTTCGTTGGGTTGACGATGTTGACCGTAAATGCTCTCGGCTTTTCACTGAGACTGTGCGTGCTTTTGAAGCAATGCACAATATGGTCAAGAACATCGTAGGCGTACTACAGAGGGAACAAAACGAGAAGAAGCGCGTCAAGAAGGAGGGCGTCGTTCCTGAAGACAACACTATCTCGGTGAACCCGCAAGATGACATATCGTCTGCGTGGCTTCCACGTGATAGCGATTACTTTGATGGCAAACGGCGATCGCAAAGTGTTAGCCGACGGCACTTTGAAAGCCGAATCAAGCAGAATGGATTCGAAACGCCGTGCCGCAACCCCACGCCATCCGCTTCATCTCGTTGCAGTGCGAATAAGCGGTATGGCAGCTCTTTGTCCTCGCTAGCTCGCGTGGGCATGAAGGTACACGATTTGCAGACCGAGCTACGGCGTGCTCACGATTAGAAGCTCAATCAAGAGTTGTCAAGCTTTCAGAGCGTTCATTACTCGCTCTTGTCATGGCATAGCAGACTTTACTCGAATCTCACCAGCAGGCTCAGTTGATCGGGGCTCATTACCTCCGTTGAAACTGCAGATCCTAGCGTGTATTTGAGTAAGGTTGCGGGTGGCATGCTTCGTAGTGGTTGATGGGACTCATTACTCCTTTTTCCACCACAGCGTTTGCTTTCTGCCTGTGTTTCTGCTGTGCTTGGCATCCACTTTGAAAGCGTTTGATATGACAACTATGCTGATCCAAGCGTTAGTGCCGTAGGATATGTACATAATTTCTTACAAAGACAAGAGTAGAATTGAGCAAAGTAAAACAACATTGAGACTAGTACAAAAGGCTCTTTCAGAGATGTATATGATTAGTTCATCCGATCATTTCTTCCCTTACCAACCTCTTCTTCATGAACCACAGTCGCTCCGTAACAATAGGAAACACGTCGACAAGACGTGAGCTGCTGAGCTGGAGAAGAAACGTTCTTGTCAATACGATTTGATTTGGAAAACATGTCACGCGGTCTCGCTGATGCACGCGCTTGATAGATAATGCCCTTGCCAAGGGAGATACCACCACAATCGAGTGTTCATTCAAACGCACAATTAAATGCTCACTCGGTCCTTCCACCTCAACGCCCGATACTTCACCATCATCGTCAACATGTAGATGAATGGTCATCATCCTCAAGATATTCTATAAGCTCAAACTTGTGCCGAATGTTGATCCATGTCACTCGGCCTCGATCATAATATTCATAACCACTGTGCTTGTTTATCCACTATGATGGTTCTTCCACTGATCTTCTAATGCTGAAAAAGACGACGGGCATCCATCCGAACGCATCACATGCACCACAACATTTATTGCAGTCACCAATCTTCCAGTCGTCACAATCGCGAGATTCAAGTCCATAGTCAAAGTCATCCACAATATCTCTCGCCTTGATTGATATATCTCCGTAAATTAATCAGCCATCCGTCTCACATGATGTGCCTCGCAAACACCATATCAAGTCTTCGAAACTGCTTTTACCGACCAAGTCCACAAGATGCACGTCCATGGCTTTTTCTCGTTCCAGAGCTTCTTCTTTCACCTTATTAATGGTCGAATAAGTTGGTGAATGGGTGGAATACGATCAGCATGACGATTTCCTATGTCTGAAGCTTGCCATCCCATACCTCGATGCGCTACGGGCTATCCCCGCATATCGGGTGGCTTGCGCGGTTGCTCCTCCCACGGTAGATAGACTGGAAATAAGTAGCTCGCTTCTTTGCAACGTTCTGGAGCACGACGGCGAGGCGCAACTACGTCGGTAAAATTAAGAGCAGCCAGAGGCACAGGGTCGGGGAACTCCGATGAGACGGATCAACCACGACATTAGATGCATACGGGCGTCACTCGCATCTGCGTCTAGCGCACCTCGCAGAGAAATCAACGCCGACCAGGAGACCGGGCGCCGGTACCGACAAATCCAATACAGAATCTACGGGGCTTCACACCGACGTCACGTTGAGTGACGACGGTGACCCAAATCCAGCAGATGACTTTTTGTGTTGGGGTCCCCGATGCGGCCAGTCCGCATCGACAGGTTCTACGTACCGCAAGCCTCAACGTCAGCAGTGCAGTGGATGTCAGTAGAAGAGCCGCCCCTACCCTCTGACTGCTAAGTGCCAATGAGGATTGCATAAGTTCCTGCACTTCTACATAATCTTTGAGATCAACAGGATTAAGCCTGACCATGCTAAGCCCATGATGATCTTGTCGCACGCCGTGGAAAAAGGGCGTACGCACAATGTACTTTACTCACAAGTCTTTCGTAGACATACTGCGTCCGCCAGCAACGGCATGTAGCTCAATTCGTCAGTGTATAGAGTATGGTAACGCAACAGGACGTTCGTAAAACAGCATTCTCGATGACAACTTTCTACCGGCATTTATAGCTTTTAGAACATCATTATAGCACGATCCTGCTTACCCAAAGACGCCAGAGTATCAAGTACCGTCCGTGATGTATTAATGTGAACTATGGATGTCGTTCTTGACAGCCACATCAAATCTAGCGTCTCTTGATGCTTATCCTTACCTATTCAAACGTCGTCTACGGTAGAAAACGAGCGGAAACGACTTAGGCACTTCATTCCACGGCGAAGAAGGTTTGGTATTCAGGAGAAGTGACCGATGTCGTTATTTTCGAAAGACTCACATACAAATACCGTGTCTAAACCCTAAGCTAAATAATATGCTTGCATATGCCTAAGTAAGTATTACAGACGAACGCTAATGGATCCGTGGTGACGATCATCTTGACTTCAAAAACGTGGAGCAAGTATTATTTGCATTCATTACATGAACGGACTTCTAACAAAAGATTACAGTCAAGGTGCAGCTCTGATTCATTCAAAAATAACAAGAAGGAGATTGTAACTTCACATGTATGAATTACTCTATAACGACTTCCGATCATGCGACCGACTGGTCAATTCAGTCTGTCCAACTAAACTGAAGCAGTATACGACAAATCTTCATTTGAGTATTGTCTTGGGCTCGAAACCCCTTGTCTGATTTACTTTTTTCTCACGATGTGACCATTGGAAACGACTACAGCCAGTCATTTCTGTAACGTCCATTCCATTCGAGAGCTCTATTTCGTTTTGTTTAGTGCGCCGGTCATCTTTACAATACTGGATAGGCAATCATGAACCCCACCCTATAGACTGCTAAGACCACTCTAGTCACAATCCTTTCTGAAGAGGAGATGAGTTAAGAAAGAAAGATGCATATACACCGAAGTGCAACCTGTTAAATAGACTATTTCGATGCTTGAACGATGTTTCGGAGGGCTGATTCGGTTGTTTTCTTTCTTTTGATTGGTTAAAAGTTACTCTAATTAACGTCCAAGAAGGGAGGGGGCCGTTGGTTGCATCCGTATTTTCCAGTGAAGCATTAAACAAGTGAGTGAGTGAGTATCTCGTACTGGGTCTCTTCCAAGTCGATATAAACGGATTAGTTCATAGATACAAAAGACGGACCTCACACGACGTAAGGCCCAACAGGCATGCTGCGCTTCTAGACGAGCGTTATCTTTCTCTCATCTCCTGTTGTTTGTCTTCTACGCAAGAAAGAAAGAGAGAAAACGAAGAAGAAGAGAAGGAAGACAAGAGAAGACACGACAAGGTTGTTTGTCTACTGTCGCTCTTTAATTTGTATTCATTTTAGTGTATGACAGACGACAGTAGAATGACTGGAGAAGCTGGTGCTAATCGTACATTTCGATCTATATTTGGTGAGAAGAAAATAAAGCAAACACACGATCAAGTGCTTTATCTAGAGTTAGAACAGAGTGATAGTAGTGCGTCAGTGACAGCAGATTCAAGTGCTGAAGTGGCGATGAATGAGGAGGAGGAGGATGAAACGATGTGGAATGATGATATGGTGCACGTAAGTGGTGGAGACGAGGAGGAGGAGGAGGGAAAGAAAGAGGACAATAATGATTTTCTAGGACTTCAATTTGCAGTAAGTTGTTGACGTTAGATCTTATGACGTACGAGGAATGTTTTGAGGTGTATCTTGTATTAACTTGTCGTTGTTTATGGCTGTTTATGTATTTTCATAGCGACGTAAATCGATGGTAGAGTGGGCAGATGATGATGATGAAGAGGATACTTGGAAAGAAGCATTACAAGATCGTGTGAATCAGCTAAAACTTGCATTTCAACACAATGATGACTCAACAAGTGCTCAATCGAAACGTCAATGTAAGCAGCAGCACGTGCAAGACTATTCAATGCATGAGATCCAACGCGCTGATTTTAGTCAATCACTACCGGTCTCTACACGATTTGCTGCTTCAGGTGAAGACGAGACGGATCGACTTCGACAAACCTGTCGCCATAAAATGCGTCGCACTTCGTCACATGCGTGCATCACTGGTGACAACGTTGTCACGTCGAATCGTCCAAATCGGCTTTGGAGCTGTCAGCGCAAAGTGGCTGGTGAAACAGCAGCAACGATGCTGAGCCAAAATCGACGTATACGGTCAACCTCTATAGATTTCGTAGCCCGTAACATTCAATTAGTGGAGCACCATCGGAAGCGCTCGGAATCTTTAAGCGGCTCGGAAAGCAGGACAGAGCCGCCAAGTCAATGTGTGTCACGGAAGAATCCATTGGACCATAGTCGCAGCACCCTTAGCAAAAGTAGTAGTAGTTTCTGCGATATCAAGACAGTATCGTCGACCTGTGCGACACCCTCGTTGTCATCAAGCGCCGCCGTATTACATTTGAGCGACACAGAAGCCATCCGCCGTTTTGTGCTTGAAGACGTTAAAACCGTAAGTCGTCCTCTGTCGTTGTGCGCGTGCACAGCATATCTAATGCTGTGTGACTATTTGTCGCGTGAATGATGTAGATGTCGATGGAACGACTCGTGAGCGATGCCCGGCGATTACATTTCTTAGAGGATTTCTACCAAAGTCGGCAAGGACTACATGTCATGCCGTCCGTCGCGACCTCGAATTCGATGGTTCAACCGTCCCTCGCCTCTTCCTCTTCCTCTTCAACAATGTCCACATCCTGACCACACGCTGTTTTATTATATTTCTCACCTTACGTAGCTGATCGGATGTAATATTTTGCTGCATGCTTTATTTAACGACAGCCCTTCAAACAAAATGTTTTGTCTTGCCTTTCGCTTGCATTACTTGCGACCTTCATTTATATTGTCCAACAAAAAGAAGTCCAAGTCTTAAACCAGTCCTCAACCTCGTGCTACTTGGTCATTCAAGAGTCTAACTTCATCGACTTTGATAGCAGACTGCAAGCAAAACTCTGCAACAGTCAATCACGCTTAATCACGTCTTGTCATACTACTAGTTTTGGCACTTTATCGGATGTCAATGATCCAAGGCACTTAACACTATGTCGGACACTCCATAGCGTTTTTACTTGAACCATTGTGCAGTAATACATCATTTCCTGCCGCGTACCCTCACGTCTGTCCGCTTTGGCTGTCTTCATGAATTGAAAAGTGCTGCAATGCGTCTAGCGTAAGCTCATATGTCACAAATGTCGTACTTGCGGTGACGACGGCCTTCAGCAGGCTGGGCAATGTGCCTTTGTAAAGCCCTCGGATTCCTTCTCGATGCAACACGTCAAGAAAGCACGTCCAGCTTGAAGAGTACATCGGGATAACACCATACGTTTCGCAACGCGGTACATGACGCATTTGCATGCGCTTCTTGATTGTATCCAACGGATATACCGCTAATTTCGACACAAATCCAGCCACAGCTCCACTTCCAACGTACGATAGAGCTGTCGAAAGTGGTATCCACAAGCCCTGGACAGTATCATTTTGCTTTCTACGACGTTTCACCGCTAGTTCATTCAACGTCGAGTAGATACCAAAACTCAGTCCCATGTATGGTGCAATCTGAAAGACCGCAGCACCCATGCCACTATAGAAACCACAAATGCCTTGTGTTGTCCACATATGCAATGCCAAGCTATGCATCGTTGGAAAACGTTTGGGTATTCCCTGACTGGCAAATGCCGTGCGGAAGAGGTCCAAAGGATAAGTAACAATAGTTGCCGTGACACCGGCCACTGCACCATTCATCGCAACCATCGACACTGACGAATTGCAATGTTCTTTTCCTATTCCTTCCACTTGCCAATAGCGTGTAAGTGCCCGGTACGTAGAAAATTGCAGCGCCGAGTAGCCCACCCAAAGTCCTGTTGCAGCTAAATTCCCTCGCCAAAAACTGCGCAAACCCTCTTCCGCATAGACGCTACGTATAGATTGCATCATACCAGAATATTTCATTCCATTACGACTTGTAAGAGTATATATAGGCTGTACTTGTAAGCGAATCTTCAGTAAATCCAATGGTGCAGACACACATCGTGTCATACCTGATGAGTAATAGACACATAATACCATGAGACAGAATGAGATAACGTTAGAATAACGATAGAAAGATAGCGACATACATTAATGAAGATACATGGACATAAAACATAGACAGATGGACAGACGTACCTCCAGATACAGCACCAGCAAATGCTGCCTCTGTAGTCGAAGCATCACGCTTCGCTTTCGTTGTACCATCACTCTTGGTCATTTTGATGTAAAATGGAAGGAATGATGGTAAGTTGGATCAGGTATTGCTTTTAGTTGTATAAGATTATAGAGGTTAGTGTTTTTAGTCTGTCGTAGTAAAGATATGTAGCCAATCATATATATATATTCTATTTGTATTTTCGCCAATCAGAGCACGTTATTCTCACGGCCATTCAAACATGGGAGGCGATAAAGTACATCCAGTATTCATTCATTGAACACTTCTCTACCTCTAGTAGAAGCTTTAGGTTCTTTCTTTATCCTTGTTGCTACGCTCAAACTTCTATCTCTATCAATTTTTATCATGCATTGGTTGCAATTATCCCGTGCATCTCGTGGATTACGTCGTCGTCTACTCCGTCTTCATACGCTACCGTCGATTTTACAATCGTGCAACTTTAGTGTCACCTCCACCGAGGCTGACATTCCGCCATCTTTTGCACCTGGTTGTTCTGTACCGAGTGGCTACATGAAAAACCTCCGTAATATCGGTATTTCCGCTCATATTGATTCCGGAAAGACAACCTTAACCGAACGTATACTGTTTTATACCGGCCGTATTACTGCTATTCATGATGTACGAGGGAAGGACGGGATTGGTGCAAAAATGGATTCCATGGAATTAGAGCGTGAGAAGGGCATTACAATTCAATCAGCTGCAACGTATTGTGCTTGGAAGGATTCAAATATTAATATTATTGATACACCTGGTCATGTGGATTTTACAATTGAAGTCGAACGTGCATTACGTGTATTAGATGGTGGTATTCTCGTACTTTGTGGTGTCTCGGGGGTCCAGAGTCAATCACTTACAGTTGATAAACAGATGAAACGATACGGTGTGCCACGTATTGCATTCATTAATAAACTTGATCGCATGGGTGCAAATCCCTGGAAAGTGATTCGTGATCTGAGGAATCAACTTAAGCTAAATGCTTGGGCTTTACAAGTCCCTATTGGTGCTGAGAATGAGTTAGAAGGGGTTGTTGACCTTCTTACAATGAAAGCTTTACGTAATAAGGGTGAAAGTGGTGAAGTGATTCAAGAATCGGACGAGATGCCCACTGAAGTTCGTCTGTTGGCGGAAAAAAAGCGCATGGAATTGATTGAAGCACTTGCGGATGTCGACGATGAGATTGCTGAGATGTTCTTGATGGAAGAGGACCTTAGCGTGGATCAACTTCAGCATGCTATCCGTCGTGCTACAATTGCGCACAAGTTTGTACCGGTAATGATGGGCTCAGCGTTTAAGAATCGTGGGGTACAGCCAATGTTGGACGGTGTCGTTTCGTACTTGCCATGCCCATCAGATGTTATGAATTTTGCTTTGGATCAGACCAAGGGCGAGGCTCGCGTGAGTGTGCCGTGTTCACCGGAAGCACCTTTGCTAGCACTGGCTTTTAAGCTGGAGGAAGGCAAGTTTGGTCAGCTTACGTACATGCGCGTGTACTCTGGTACGCTCAAACGTGGTGGATTTATCTATAACATGAGTGATATGAAGCGTATTAAAGTACCGCGTTTAGTGAAGATGCACTCGAATGAAATGGTAGAAGTTGAAGAAGTTGGTGCTGGTGAAGTCGTTGCGATGTTTGGTGTCGAATGTGCCAGTATGGACACGTTCAGCGATACGAACCAGGGCAAGTTTACGATGAAGAGTCTACACGTGCCTGAACCAGTAATGTCTTTGGCTGTTACACCGAAGAATAAGCAGCAGGTTGGCAATTTTTCCAAGGCGCTTAACCGTTTCCAAAAGGAGGATCCGACATTTCGCGTGCATGTGGATGATGACAGCAAGGAGACGATTATCAGGGGAATGGGTGAACTACACTTGCAAATTTACGTGGAGCGCATGAAGCGTGAGTACAGCGTAGACGTGGTGACCGGTGCGCCGCAGGTAAATTATCGTGAGACGATTCGTCAGCGCAGTGAGTTCAACTACCTTCACAAGAAGCAAAGTGGCGGTTCTGGACAGTATGCTCGTGTGGTGGGATACATTGAGCCGCTCACCGATGAGGAAGCGGAAGAGCTTAGCAACGAGGGTAACATGTCGGGCGTTGTGTTTGAGAACGCGATTGTCGGTAACGCAATTCCGCCTGAGTACATTGCGGCTTGCGCAAAGGGTGTGAACGATGCGGTCCAGAAAGGTTGGCTCATTGGGCACCCGGTGCAACGCATTCGTGTGGTGGTAAACGATGGTCAGTCGCACTCTGTGGATTCCAGCGAGCTTGCTTTCCGCACAGCCATGGTACTGGCTATTCGTCAAGCGTTTTTAAAGGCTGAGCCGTGTATTCTTGAGCCCGTAATGGCTGTGGAGGTGGAAGTGCCTAATGAATTCCAAGGCACGGCTATTGCCGAGGTAAATCGTCGTCGGGGTCTCATTAACAGTAGCGATGCCGATGACATCCAAACGGTTATCAAGTGCGACGTACCGCTGCAGAACATGTTTGGTTTCTCAACCGACCTGCGATCATCTACGCAGGGTAAAGGCGAGTTTACAATGGAGTACAAGACTCATGGCATTGTTCTACGTGATATGCAGGAAAAGCTGATGAAAGAGTACGAAAAGGCACAGGCTGCCAAGAACAAGTAGATGTAAAGTTTGTCATTTGCTTTACTTGATGCCTACGTGGACGAATAGATAGATACATACATGTTGTAGTACGAAACTAGATAGAAGCGACATTTGAATGGGTCAATAACAAGAGAACAAGTTTCTTCATAGTTGTTTGTTTGTGTCAAAGCATTAGATCATTTATTTGTCAAGAATCACTGAAACTCCGTCTCCTCATGGCATCAATTGACTATTATCGTATACTGAACGTCGCTAGGTCGGTGCTTTGTCAAGTCCTCGAGGTGTTGTTTTTACTATGATCAATCATCTTTGTGATGTAATCGTGCTTGTGTAACTAGAACTGCATCGTCCAAGGAGATTAAAGCTGCTTACTTTCAACTCGGTACGTTTACGTCACTTGCTCTATCATGTCTACTTTCGATCCAACTGATTGAGTTGTGTCTGTAGCCAAGTCTCTTCATCCAGACGTGACTGGTAACGACAAGGCTAAGGCCGAGCGCTTTAAGCACGTGTGTGAAGCTCATTCGGTCCTCTCGGACGTTCAAAGACGACGTGAATACGACGCTTCCCGTCCATTCGAGAGCTTTCGGTCACATGATACATCAGGAAAGACACAGCATCCATACGCTGCCACTGGAGGCGCACCAGACGTTCGGACGTATCCGTTCTATGGTATTGATGAAGACATTTGGCTAGCACATCATTATGGACCAGAGGCTGCTCGACGTAATGGAATGCCACCGCGGTATTATGGCATGGACGTCGTTGAAGAAAAGCTCGAGCAACAACGTGAATACATTCGTCGTCGGCAACGCCACTATAAACTCAGTCGGACGTCTGGGTATTTCTTACGACGTGAAGCTCGATTGAAGAAACAGGAAGAAGCAGAAGCAGAAGCGAGAAATGAAGAAGACAAGCCTAAAGATAGCTGTGTCATCTCTTGAATGGCATTGTAGATCACTTAGTGCATGCCTCTTACTAGCTAGTGTGAGTGAGAGACTTGTGCTCTTTGTAGAGAGAGAACGATCATGTATCGAAGAACTATCTATTGAGAATACCATAACCTGCTTAGCTATTTCCAAGTCCACGTGGTAATGCATGAAGCCCAAGCGCGTACGAGTACAACCTGGCATCAATAGCATCTTTCTCAAGGTGTTTCCGAGCTTCCAACCAATTCACAAGACCTTCCAATGGAGCATGTACGACGTGAATGATCTCATCTTGATCTAATTGCTGTTGCAATGGACTTTGTTGCTCTTCTTCCCGTACTTCTACTAGCAATAGTCTGCTTTTTCCATTGGTAACGCCTTGATCATTCACCATTGGTGGCCCCATATGTAGCACCCGTGAACCGACATACCCAGTCTCTTCCTTAAGTTCTCTCATGGCGGCTACTTCAGGTGCCTCGTGTACATCAATGAGACCAGCTGGCAATTCCAAGACCCATTGCCCAACTGGTGGACGGAATTGACGTATTAACACGACGCGTGTCGGCGTTCCTTGCTTCGTCAAGAATGGAAACACTACCACAGCATCACACACTTCCAGATTTGCCTGTTTCTGCTGTTCATGAGCGGTTATCAGCTCGGTTGATGTTGAAACAGTCTCAGATAAAGTCTTTGGATATGTCGTTGTGCGCTCTAGCCCTGTCCAATGCCGTTCAGAGCCTTGAGCGTCCAGGAACAAAATACGCTTGAGTCGAATCCACGGATTCTCAAACAAAGTGTGCTCTGACACGACTCTCGGAAGCTGTGGATTCTTATCTCGAGACACGGAATAACATGCTGTATACACGAAAGGTATGCGGTGACGTAGTACAGATCCTAAGAGGGTTGTTAGGCCCTGAAAGACCTTGGCACTGCAGTGTTTAGAGCGTCGACTAAGCTGCATGATCGTGTCCATTTCCTAACTCAACTGACGTTTATGGACTGCACATCAAATTAAGAATAGCGTGTAGTACAGCAAAGGTGCTAATGAACTTGAGTCATGTTGGTGATGCATCACTTTCTCTATGCATGAAGTAGCTTAGCGCTTCTCTACCACAACAGGTAGCACAACCTTCGTCTGCACGTCTAGATAAGCCGGGCATACCACGCACACCTCAAACACGTACTTGCCTGCATTATTTACATTAGAATGTCACGTTAAACACTTTCATATCAACATGCGCAAAATGTTTCAGTGCATACCTGGAGTCTCCGGCCCTAAGAACCCCATCCTTTGCACGACTTGTTGAGATAAGTCTACGCACTGTTATTGCAAGATAGCAACACATATCAGAAAAGAAGAGTAGTGTAAACACAATGACAAATGCAAAATCACGCGTACCTTCCAAGCAGAATACAGCCGACCAGTTCCCTTATCCATGACGAGAAACCATACGTGCTCCTTGCAAAACGGGCTCTTGGAGTCTACGTGGTCGTAAAATGTAGCAGCTAGAGATGCCGTCTCACCTTCTTTTAGGCGCTTTCGTTTCAAAATTGTTTGCAGAGTAAGCAAATCTCCGGGCTGGATGTTTGGTTCATCATGCACAACTAGCGTTGTGTCCTCCAAGCACAAGTCAGGTAATTGACGATGGACAGCAGCCATTCGTTCCTTCTGGTCACGCAAGGCTGCCTCGTCAGCAACAAGACTTCCCTGGGCAAGACTGGAAAGCAGTGACAGCGCACGCAGCAGTGGGATGGCAGGGTATGCACGCTTCACCAAATGCTCAGCAGCTATCGTCGCAAAGATATCCACCAGAAATGGCAACTCACGCAGCACCTTTTGAAACCGATGGTCCACCCATGACGGACGTGACACGCCTCGCAGCTTGTCGCGACGTAGATACTGGTACAATGCCAGCATATTCTCGCGTGCGACTGGATTTTGGTGCTTCCGAATGCGGCTAATGATTTCACTCGGTAAAGCCCTCACAGCCTCCATTTTCTTTGCAAGTTTGTTGTGTGTCTGTGTACGCAATTGTGCCTCATTTCGTGCATTATCCGAGATGCCTGCTCCCGCTCCAGCCATCTCATCACAGGATAAAAGCAGCTCCACAATGTCGTGTACGCTCATTTTGTCTGTCAAGGCATCGACAAAGCTCGCACGAGTAGCACGTGAGATCTGCGTACGATCACGACGTCCTGAAGACTTTTGTAGCCAATATACGAGGTATCCAACACCTGCAATGATCGCTCCAAAGTACAGCAGCACAAAAATGGATCCAATACCGCCATTGGTGCCACTGAACGCCGAGGCAAATGCCACATCCATCAACATGGACTGATGACCATCAGGGTGACCGTATTTACGGTAATTCTCCATACTCTGAGGGTTTGTCAAGGCTTCGTACGCCTTTGTCACGCGAGCGAACTGACGCGTGGCCAATGGATTATGGAGGTTTTTATCAGGATGCAGCTTCCTTCCCAGTGCTCGAAACGCCTTTTTAATTTGCTGAGAAGATGCCGAGTCACTTATGCCCAAGATCTCGTATGGATCAAAGACACCCGACGTATCCACGCTCTGTAAAGCCGAGAGACAGCGCCATAAGAGACCGCACGCGATGGCCAATAGCGCCAAGTGTAGCGCAAATCCACGCGAGCGAAGATTCTTGGGACTCGTGTACACGCGGTAGAATGTAAAGATCATGGCAGGAACAACGTATAGTCCCAGCATAACGCCTGCAAACGCATAGAACGCGCCATCTGCTTCAGACAACATCTCGGTGGCCATTGCTAATTTGGATGTGTCACTTGATTGAGGAGGGATTGGATCATCGGAGTGACATTTACTTACAAGCTACTTCAAAATGCTATATCGTCGGCGTAAAAGCTACTTCACATGTCTCACTCAGATAGGAGAGCTATTGAGAATATTTTTGCAATAGGAGAGAAGTCAAAGGGCAGTGATAGGCGCTGTTAGTGTTGCTTTATTTCATTTTTTGCATGAACAATTGTCTGTTTATTAACGAGAACACTAAAGATATTTTACAATTCTGTATTACCTTTGGACTACTATTTGGTAGTTGGTAGTGCAGCAGCAGAAAACTAATATGCATCCACATACTCATCTATGAAGGCAATTGCATTTGCCATGAGATGTCCGATTTTGCAACATTTTGGAGGAAAAGCAAACAAGTGCAGAAGGCTGCGGTACATGCCATCTGTGCATTTGTCGCAATTGGCAGGTACTTTGCAATAGACCAGCAATTGCAGCTTGTAAGTGCTATTTAACTGCAAAGTAGAGCTTTTAGTCTCATTTTAAGCAGTAGAAATGCGATGAAAAAGCGCATTTTGCACAATAAAAGCAAACCATTGCTACTTTTTGCATGTACTGGGGCCACGTAATCACGTTGCGCAACGCAAACAGTAACAATCATCGGGATGTTTTTTACTTTAGTACTACTTCACTTCTACCAGTATGTGAAAGCTACCTGCGCAACGAATTGCAGTTGTTTACCGAGATCGATGTTATTAAGACCAGTTGGACGACTGAATATGACACTGAGTGTAGTGCACCAACATCTGCTCATCAAACCTCATGAAAGGCTTTTTATTAACAACTGGCCATAGGCCCATCTCGTTACCTAAAGTTCCGTCAAAATATTTTTCCGTTTGCATTAATTATAACAGTGCATCTGCTTTATTTGTTCTAGCCGGTATACCAGATGCTTTATGCCAAAGTTATGTATTGTACCGGTCTTATTCATTATCGAAGCAAACCAGGTTTGAAAGGTTCTAATATAAGCAAGCAATATAACACCCAGCCGTTATTAGCCCCTACATTTTGTCTGCTAATAATGACAAGTAAGACGCAACAAGAGGAGCAAAAGCCTCACCACGTGGGCTTAGATGAGCTTCATGAAGAACTGGATACAACGCCTGTGCACGCTGCAGCTCGCGATGGATGTGTCGAGGATTTGCGTGACATTCTGCTGGCCGATCCCACTCAGATTATGGCACTCGACAAGTACGGGCTAACACCTTTGCATTGGACGTGTGATCGCGGAGAGGCTGCAGCGGCTCGCTTACTATTACAACACGGTGCAGATGTCAATGCCGTAGAGAAGCGTATGTTCAAGCGGCGACCGCTTCATTTTGCCGTCCTGGCGAGCTCTCAGGCAACGGTCCTCGAACTATTAGCGTACCATGCTGATGTGCTGGTTGTGGATTACCGTGGGTGGGCGCCAATTCACGGTGCGGCTTATAGTGGAGATGTGGGTGTGCTGACGGCGCTGCTAGATGCTGGAGCAAGTGCTACCACTCAGTTAACGAGACGACGCGAGACGGCGCTGCATATTGCCGCTAGTCGAGGAAACGTCGAGGCCGTTCGACTGCTGGTAAAGCGCCATCTGGATGATAGGAGCTTAGTAGAGATGAAGGATGACGAGGGCTTTACAGCGTCGCATGTGGCCGTTCGTAATGGATTCGAAGCTGTTGCGTGTCTGCTTGGTATGTAGTACAAAGGTCTGCATGCCAAATAGACACGCAGCTTTTCGTACTCAGCTCGAGCACAGGAAATCTAGTGACGTGCACAGTACACACAAACAATCTTCTCGTTACAGATATGATTCATCGTTGCAAACGGCAAGGACTAGCATGGCGAGCTAAGTCGATTTGGTCGGTATTGGGAACATGACTGATGACGCGTGGTCTTTCGATGATGTACTTGGGAGCATGCTGTAACGACCATTACAATTTGCAAGGGGGTGGTGGATAAAGGGTAGTTCGTTCCTTTGCTTCAACACGGCTGTCGGACAGGCCGCACAAGTTTTATATTAATAGATAGCAAAACACACGGCGGGTTGAATGTACTCTTTCCGCCATCTACAAGGAATTAGAAAGAAACAGGTTGCAAACTCAATACAAATCTGCCAACGAATGACAATTTGTACGTTTGTTGTGCACTTTGTCGTACCGCACATTGGTACGTCCTGCTCAGAGAGACGGAAAGAAAGAGAGATAGTCAGACGGAGTGTCTATTTTTTAGTTTTTTGTCAGGATGCAATGAATGTATGTATTCTATAGATTATGAACAAGTCCATTGATCAATCATTTGATAATAGGAAAGAGAGATTCAGTCTTTATTGTCGTCGATATTCCGATCAAACATGCTTTGTAGAGTCAACGATTGACAGCATCATCATAGACAATCGTAGCATTTCACTACTGTATCTATTGTGCGCTGTTCTTCATCTCATTCCTTGTGTCGCAGTTATTAGTGATTAGCTCGCAGTTCCGAAGTTGAACTTCAACTTGCTTCTTAATATAAAATAATATAAAAAAGAGTTTACTTGCTGGATCGTTTGCAAGAGCTACAAACGTAGAAAAAAAACGTTAACTTTTGTCGTCTCAAAATGTAAGCATCCGTTTTATGCTTGAAGTTGTGCAAGAATAAGAAGCTTTTGTTGCTCCTCAAAGACAAGGCTAGTTTTTTTGTCATATTGCAGCAACTTCAAGTTGCACAAGTGCTGGAAGCTACTGCCACATGAAGGTGATAAGTAGAATGTCTTTCCTCTAAACCACACGTCGTCGTGTATATTGCTCACGTCTAATCAAGACAAAATAAAGTAGCCTGCCAAATGACGTGAAAGGCGCAAATGCCCGCCATCTTGACTTTTCATCTGCTCACGAAGAGCCGTCACCCAAGTTGAATATAAACAATAGACAACTGTTTAACGTGCTTACATTTGTTCAATGTGGCACACTGTGCTAGCGATACTTGCACTGTCACAAAAAAAACACATAAACACACAAAACCCACCAAATCAATAAAGCACATAATAAGATCGAAAAAAGCTTTAGGTTGAGTGTAATTTCAATAAATAGTATATAAAAGCTGGCAGCCGAGAGGTACTCGAGAAATAATGAATATACTACGATAGTGGTGAGCGAGTTTACCTCGAGGCTTTTTCACGTTAAAAACACTGACAAGTGTATCACGTGGTAGCGGTATTCTTGGCAAATAAATGGTAACGTGTGCAGCAATCACTCTATTCCGTTACTTGGTCGCGTTGGTAGATCCTCGTGGAGGCTTTAATACTTCCTTACTCAACATGTCTGAATGAAAGCTTCACCGCTTTGGTGACATAGATAACATTATCAAGGCAGACATATCAAATGACTGCGCCTGTCGCTTATCAAGCGGATCAATACACCTGGCTCCACGTGCCAAGCACAAACCTCTAAGAATGCGAGGCTCTGGTGTTTCAGGTGACTCGATTGCTACGATCGATTGCGGTCTTGTCGAATGATGACGCAGAGCTCTCGTACTGCTCGTGTTGTCCTCGTAGATCCCAAAATCATTAAAACTGTTTGTAATCTCCGCAATGCGCTGTTTCTTCTTCCTCAAGAGCATATTCTCTCGTGAATTACGCCGCAATGGCAAACAATCATCGTCCTGCACGGACGAATGGGACAATGTCGACGAGTTCCATGTCACCTCTTTATTAAAGCCCTCGAGGTCATTCATTTCCAGTGGAAACTGTAGCAAATGACTCTCGAAACATCCCTGATCATGTGTCATGTCATGGCTGTTACAGCAACTACTAACGTCCGCCCGTGAGCGTTTAAACCGATGCGTTGGACCCTCAATAAAAGGTGTCCATGTATCCACACCATATTGAAGTAACCCACTACTGTTATTACTGCTGTTGCTGGTGTTGTTGTTATGATTTGAAGCCTCAGCGGCCAACGCGACCAGATCATCACATGCACGGGATCGCTTCATGGCATATAGAAATCGTTTCTATATCGAAATCTATTCAAAAAATTCGCCGCCCTTTGATTCGGCAGAGAAGAAAAGTGAAAATGAGCAAATTCAGGGACGTTCACCACTTTTTATTCAGTGCCAGAAAATCACGGGGGAACAGACAGGCCGGAGGCTGTAGAGAAGAGACCGTTTTGACCAATGTGAATTGGCCATGATCCGAAGCCGGACCAATCCTCGTATACCCCTTGCCCTGTACGCAATTCAACCACGCCCTTCCCAGCTCCAAGTTGAACCAGCAGCGCTGAAACGACTATTGTAAGAATTAATGTGTGTGGTAGACGCTGTTGTTAGTACGAACAAGTATTGGTACAAGAACCTCTTATTATTGATCTCTAGACGTCAAATCTTCTTACCCCTGCTTCAAGCTGCGAGAAACACGCGCTTGTGGCATCAATACTTTTGGGGTGTCATTGAATATACATACACAACCTGTTTTTTATGCAGCGTCAAGTTACCCTAGTAGCTTGAATGTAAGATTGTCTAATGCGTATTTATGATACACATGTTGACTTTAACTGGTAGAAATTTATAGAAACCTGATGAGTCGGTGTACCATGTACATATTTGAAATCGTAGACCAAATACCGTTCATGCCGCTAAATCGTCTAATCTTTGGAAAAGCATGTTGAAGTTCCGGTGCCACGCCACAATCGGGCCAGAAACGCCCTTCCAAGACAAAAAAAGTTGCCACCCAACTGGTAATAGGACCATACTTTTAGTCTACACACGACCAATGCGCAAACTGTTTCCGACGTGCGTCAGCAACATGTGGACTGCCTCAAGAGCAATCTATAGGTTTCTCCATCCACGTATGACATAATAACTCGTAATTGCATTGCATTCTGCCCATGTCACTCGTCGAACAAAAGGAGATGCACAATTATCCAAGGTATTGGGCGTGTTGAATAAGACCAAGGAATGATTGAATGCCGATGTGGCATGGGTGCACCCAATAGATACAGTAGTGAAATGCTACGATTGTCTATGATGATGCTGTCAATCGTTGACTCTACAAAGCATGTTTGATCGGAATATTGACGACAATAAAGACTGAATCTCTCTTTCCTATTATCAAATGATTGATCAATGGACTTGTTCATAATCTATAGAATACATACATTCATTGCATCCTGACAAAAAACTAAAAATAGACACTCCGTCTGACTATCTCTTTTTCTTTCCGTCTCTCTGAGCAGGACGTACCAATGTGCGGTACGACAAAGTGCACAACAAACATACAAATTGTCATTCGTTGGCAGATTTGTATTGAGTTTGCAACCTGTTTCTTTCTAATTCCTTGTAGATGGCGGAAAGAGTACATTCAACCCGCCGTGTGTTTTGCTATCTATTAATATAAAACTTGTGCGGCCTGTCCGACAGCCGTGTTGAAGCAAAGGAACGAACTACCCTTTATCCACCACCCCCTTGCAAATTGTAATGGTCGTTACAGCATGCTCCCAAGTACATCATCGAAAGACCACGCGTCATCAGTCATGTTCCCAATACCGACCAAATCGACTTAGCTCGCCATGCTAGTCCTTGCCGTTTGCAACGATGAATCATATCTGTAACGAGAAGATTGTTTGTGTGTACTGTGCACGTCACTAGATTTCCTGTGCTCGAGCTGAGTACGAAAAGCTGCGCGTCTATTTGGCATGCAGACCTTTGTACTACATACCAAGCAGACACGCAACAGCTTCGAATCCATTACGAACGGCCACATGCGACGCTGTAAAGCCCTCGTCATCCTTCATCTCTACTAAGCTCCTATCATCCGGATGGCGCTTTACCAGCAGTCGAACGGCCTCGACGTTTCCTCGACTAGCGGCAATATGCAGCGCCGTCTCGCGTCGTCTCGTTAACTGAGTGGTAGCACTTGCTCCAGCATCTAGCAGCGCCGTCAGCACACCCACATCTCCACTATAAGCCGCACCGTGAATTGGCGCCCACCCACGGTAATCCACAACCAGCACATCAGCATGGTACGCTAATAGTTCGAGGACCGTTGCCTGAGAGCTCGCCAGGACGGCGAAATGAAGCGGTCGCCGCTTGAACATGCGCTTCTCTACGGCATTGACATCTGCACCGTGTTGTAATAGTAAGCGAGCCGCTGCAGCCTCTCCGCGATCACACGTCCAATGCAAAGGTGTTAGCCCGTACTTGTCGAGTGCCATAGTCTGCGTGGGATCAGCCAGCAGAATGTCGTGTTACAAACCTCGACAATGTGCAGTCTTTTACCCTTGTATGCCTTCGCTGGTAACGTCCTGCTTGCTTGCACCTAACGGACTGCGTCTCAACTGCATCTGCACCTGCTGGCACATGTAGATGTACATCGGCGCAATGGCTATGATGTGTGAGGCATTCAGTCTTGGCGCTTTGAATTGTAAGTTAGGTTCGGTTTATGATTGCATATGTTTCCTCATCTCTCTCGTGCGACTTACATTCATTTTGATCTTGTGGGGGTGCATTGTAAGGCCGATTTATACGTGACGACGTTTGCCAACGAGGCGATGATGTGGTTGCAACAAATTGGTCATAAATACTGCTGCATCTTATCAAAGAGCTTGGCAAAAAGCACTCCCTTTTTGTCCGCCTGATCCTGCTGCGTAGACTTGCAATAGTATTGACATGAACATGGAGAGCTCTTTTGCGATGTTAGGTCAATGGGCCGCTGCCTTCAAGGTCAATTTGATTGCAGCGTGGAAGTGACTGGATTGTTAACCCCGACTCGATCTCGTAGCAGCCGCTGCTGCATCACTATTTAAGTGTATTGTCAAAAAAAGATCGACATTGTGCTAATCTGGTTACGTCCGATACTGTCATGGCAGATCATTTGTCCATCTAAGGAAGATAATAATGCACATTGTGAATGCATCGAACTGAAGGGTTAATTGGGTTTGCTTGGTAGGACACAAAACTGATCTTGTTTATTAAGAAAGATTTGGTGGGGGGTGCTTGGAATACCCTGATGTCGGTGGTAATCAGGGTATTTTAAGCTTCTTGGGATATGAATCGATTGATTGAAGTAATCAATCGATTCATATCGCAAAAAATCGCATTATGATTACGACACATAGATTAGAAGGACAACTGCGTTTAGACAACTGGGTTAGGACAACTGTGTTAAGACAACTGGGTTAGGACAGCTGGTTAGACAGCTGGGTTAGGACAACTGCGTTAGGACCCAACCTATAAGACGACTGTATTTTTTGATGGGCGATATGGGTTGCAATTTGACGTAAACATTGCCTGGGTCGGATTAATGACATAAATATCAGCCCATGCAGCAGCATACCGTAGTGGCCAACGATTTAGCGGATGGACCACAGGATAAGCGACTGCAGTGGATACAAGTAGCTGCACGAGTATTTCCCGAGTTGGAAACAGTATCGAAGGCAAAGCGCGCACGGAAAGCAGGGAATTTACTATTGAACGGACAGCCACTGGTTGCAACACTCACCTGCGCTGCTGTAAACGATGTCTTGGTCTACTTGAACTCGGAGAAACGGACCCAATGGGCTATTACTGATAATGCTGAAGACCTGGAAGCTCAATTACTTTGGCTTCAAACTTGCAAAACGCAAGGATTACGTCAAGTCTATGAATGCGGCAGCTTGGCGGTCGTTGTCAAACCTGTGGGTATTCATGTAAAGGGTCGAGGAAAGCGTACAGTGGAGCGGGCACTGCCATTGCTGTTACAGGGTCAGCAATCAATTGAAGCTGGTGACCGTATGCTGCCCTTACCACACGCGGTGCATCGTTTGGATTATCGCGTGGGCGGTCTCTTACTTGTGGCGAAGACGAGGAAAATGGAAGTCGAATTGTCTGCGCAATTTGAGCGGCATTCAGTCACAAAGCAGTATCGAGCAATTCTTGTAGGTGACGTTCGTGAGACGTTCCAAGCATTGAATGAAAAGAATTGTACTGTGATTGACTCCATTGAGCTGCCTAACGCATTGCAAAGTATTTGCCACGAGCTGCAAATTCTAGACGATCCCATTGATGGCAGAACTTGTCTCACTGCGGTGCGAGTCGTAAGCACAACGCGCAGGTGCGTTCTAGGTTTTACTGTCTATGCAGTACGTAATTAACGTTTGGATGTGTGTGTGCAATGCAGCGCACGGTATGACTGGATATCAACTGTGGATCTCTGGCCGCTGACAGGACGCAAGCATCAACTTCGTGTTCATACGGCGCGACATGGACATCCCATTGTTGGTGACGATCTCTATCACAACACAAGCAATATTGTATGTCAACATGGATCCGGCAACAAACCCGCGGTTGTGCGGGGTATGGGGCTTTTCTTGTTCTCTGTTGGCGTGGCGTTTAATGATCTTTATGCCAACCGACGCAGCTTTTCCATTGGTGAGCCGCATAAGTTTGCCCGCTTTCGACATTTCTGTAACTTGAATTGGTCCAAGCTAGCTGCTCGACAAACTCAAGACGCCAATAAGCAAGCAACTGCGTAATGAAAGTGGTGCTTCGCTTTGACTTAGCTAATTTGGGCTTAATAATTGATCTGTGGTCGTATGGTACGATAGCACGTCATTGTGCCTAGTGTACACGCTCAAAATACGACAAGTTTCTCGTCGTGGTATTTGCACAGCAACCTGACCGCTGTAATATGGCTGCTCAAGGCATTGGACACTGCTGCCGTGGTATTACGTCGTGGAGTGCCACTAGCAATTGCGCGGCCGTTGGTCGACACCTTGGATCCGGGTGAAGGCACCATTGTGAGATCCGCCGGGATGGATCGGAAATTGGCCGCGCGTATCGAAGCTGACCAGTGTACTGACTCATCAATGACTTCACTTCCGCTTTCGTTGACTTGTCAGGGCAGATAGGGTGTTTTCCAGTGACCATCATGCAGTAAACAATCCCTACCATCCACATGTCTGCCTTCTCAGCGGTCGCTTCACAATCGGCTCGATTTGGTCGAAAGCACTCGGGAGGGAGGTACCGCAGAGTGCCAACCGTAAAGCTCGACGTTGCTGTCTTGGCATCGCGCGTCAAGTCGAAGTCAGTCAGCTTCACACACCCGTCGTAGTCGATTAATATGTTCGACGGCTTCAAGTCGTAGTGAGCAACGCCCATCTAATTGACATGCGCAAAGACAGAGTCAGCAGTCTTATCATCACCGTCGAGTGGAGTCACTAAATTTGTCCTACTTCTTCGTGCAAATACTTCAGTGAGCTCAGAAGCTGTGAAAGCACCTTGTATGCAGAATCATCGTCCAAGTACTCGTACATCTACAAGTTTTATACGGACAACGTCAAGACTAGTCAGAATACACTGCTGAAGCAAACAACAATCTGCCGAGTCGCATACCTCAATGATTTGCTGCAAGTCTGATTGAACACGTGCAACAGTGAACGCTGTGTACTGTTGCTGCTGGTATCGAATTAGAAACGGCACTTTGCCGACCTGGACGATGTTGGGGTGGTTGAGTTTCTGTAAAATACCTTTTGTTAGCAAAGACTTCGGACAACGATCGTATCATGAACTCATACCGAGTGCGTATTGTGTTCACGTTGAGCGTGGCGAATCGAAGTAGACAGCTTAAGAGCGCAATCCTGTTTATTATTGGCATAATCGACAACATCCCATACTTCTCCGTTGCCTCCTTTTCCTCGTAATCGAAGCAGCAAAAAACGGTTGCCAAGAATTGGAAATTTAGAGAACGGCGACACTTTTTCAAGACGTGTAAGCATTAACTCCTGTTTGTGCCGTGTTTCATCGCGCTGCATTTCGAATCAAAAAAGCGTCAATTACGATAACAATCGTTGTCAACAACTTCAAGTAGTTGAACTTACACTAAATTGACGAAGCTCCTCCTCAAACCGAGCTCGTCGCTCCTTGACCCACGTGGCATTTCCCTTCACCATGGCGTCACGAACGGCATTGTCGTGAAACCTTTTCTCGGCCATTATGTATTCCCTTCTTCCACCTGGAACGAAAAAGACTCGGCTTCAGTCGAAAAATAAAAAGAGAGTAGACACGATTAGTAGAAACAACAAGACCTGCTTCACAAAAAGCTACGTACGTGCCATGCTCTTCCAATTTCCCCCACTCTTCGTACTTCTGTCCTTGCTGAAAATATCGCTGAAACACTTGTTCTTGAATATCCCATCGAAGTTGCTGCTCAATATATTAACGTAAATCGCCAAAACTACGATAAACTGTCACATAAATATTATGACGTACCTCCATTTCATTTTCTTCCACATCAGTAGCCTGGTATCGGTATATATCCCCCATGTTTGTTAATTGTTGTTGCATCTGGTTGAATCCTGCTACAAACGTCGTGGTTGCTCCTACTTGCGGTTCAGCTATAATGTTTTTATTGTCGTTTAGTGTCACGTCTTCTGCAATTACTGTCATCTGATCTACCTGCGTCATCTCGGGTGTACCATTCAGTAAACGGCTCATGGGAAAAGACGCTGTTGCATTCGAAATCTTGCGCTCCTGTGAAGGGCAGTACACTGGTTTCGTCATACTACAACTAACTTTTCCCACCTTGGAAAGCGGAAAGCGATCGGATATGGAAAAAAAACTTCCCGTTGCATCGTATGGCATCGAAGTAGGTACAACAACTGTCTTGACTGTCATTGAATACTCCACATCAACAAGCGCATTGTCATACGGTACAGCTTCTTCCTTCACATCAGCTACACGCGTCACAGGTGGTGCAACCAATAGATTCGGCGTAGGTGATGAGCGCGTGAGGACTGCAGTGGGTTCATCACACCGCATGTCATCATCCGAATCAAGTGCAGTATCATTGTAATTACCAGCCACGAATTGTACTTTGTCGTACATGTCGTAATCATTATTCGTAAATCCTCCAAACATGGCGTAGTACGAATCAACTTGTCTACGAAAGTTTACAACAGAAAAGAAGACAAAGGCGCACAAGGCGCAAAAGGTTCCAACGAACTGTAGGCGTTTGAATGGATAAGTAATGTGACGTCAAAACCGTTTCTCTTCTGTTCAACTCACTAGTCGCGGTGTCTGTCGGTGCTCAGATAGTAGACGCAAGTCAAGGAAAACACACCTATCTCACGTGTTGAAAACGGCAGAGCTGCTGCTACTGATACTTATAGCGCGGAATGGTAAATGGGAAGTGCAAGATGGGCTCGGTACGGAATGACACGGAGAGAAAACGAATGAAAACATAATGAAAACAACAATAGCACGGAATGTCGCCTCGCCTCAGAATGATGGTCGTCTTTCTGAAGCAACCTCCGTTGAACTTCAACATCCGAGTATACTGTAGCCAAGTGAAAAAAAGGGAAACCTTTTCAATACCTTCAATTGCTGGCGTGTCTTGGTACTCAACCACTGGTCAAAAGTGCCAAGCGTTTTGACGAAGAAAATGGAAGTTGTATCTTAGTAGCGTTGATACTGCGTCATCGCAGTTATTGAAGCTCATATTGCATTCATAGGAAGTCTATAGCAGCATTGTAGTAAGCTTTTTCTTATCATTTAAGATTGGGTGAAGCAATGACGTGCTGCAGTCGCGCTAAGATTGTCAGCTGACAACAAGCTGACAACAAATGTAGCCTTAGGAGTTATTAAAGCAATAAATACATACTGTGTCAAACAGTAGCTTTGAGGACATCATCCTATTGAATATACCATTATGCTGTGATAAGGTTCTGCGTACATGTCAATCTATTTTGTAGCAGTACTGCTGCAAACCCACAGCGATGGTATGATCGCGCTTGACATTGCTGGCTAAGGTTGTACTTACCAAGATCAGATGGTTTGGCTGAAACGTCAACAGAAAAGTCGCCGAATTGACGAGTGTGGATGCCTCTGGTCGATCGTCATGGTGGATGGATGACCAGCAGCTGCACCAGATAATTTTCCAAAGCATTAATTACTCCCCATAACTTTTACCGCAATTTGTTGTGTGTATGTTCATGCTTTCACCTCTTTTGTGCCAATGATGTTAGTACATCTGAGGGAATCCGTACGTTGTAAATCTCGATGATCGTGCATAGCTGCTGAACAATGACGTTTCCTTGGTCATTTCATGAAACTTTCTCTCTTCAGGAAAACTGCTCTTCAGACGCTTTACAGTGAGTGGTCTTTATTTAGTGTAATTCTTCTAGAATCCAACAGAGCTCTCATGCCAAATTGTCGCACGTTTTGCACGTCCATACTCAAATGAAACGGTATAGCTCCAAGCTGTCCGCTCTGAAATGCCGCACATGTCACAATAATGAACTCATTTCCTCAGGTCATGCATGCTACTTGTGTGTGAGGCAATGCAAACAGACATTGATCATACTCAATCTGAATGCAATGATGTTATGTGCTAGCTCTTTTTTGAACAGTAATTTTCCGCATAGTATGTCTATCCGAGCTGTATCTCCATGTGTAAAGCATACGCAAGGGCTATTTTTGTAATTTCACAAGAGCTGCGCCTTTTTCTACATATATGCAGCTGAATACTTATGTATTTTGTCGCAGTATATCGCCACTTTTTTAAATCGTCCTAAGCTCGTATTGCTGCTATGACTTGTGCAGGCTACTTAGTGGTCAGTAATACTCATCCAGCCTATGTAGAAATCTGTACAGGTATTCTTACGTGCTCGATGGAAATTGATAGTCCTTTAGAAACGTCACTACCATTACTTGAGCCACGTCACATGGCAAAATTAGAAATTTGTAGTCTTCACGCGTCGTCTCAGAAGATGGAGGGCAAATGCAAGCAAGTAGATGAGAAGATGGAGCCTCAGGATGAACCAATGAAGCATCAGCGTTTGTTTCAGCTTAGTGGCTTTATGATTGAGGTACTTGAACGAGATGAGGAACTGGATGTGTCATCATTTCCTTACTCGTTTCAAGTAAATACTTACAAGATGCATTTGCAACCGGATGGCCGCTCAAGCAGTCTATTTCATGACTCGATTATACTATCAGCTACTGACGAAGATACAAAGAAGATATGGGTAAAGAGCATTAAGTTTTGGAACCGCTATGGATGGAGAGACACGGTACAAGTGGCTGCCACACGCCGTGATCTCGAGAAGCTCCAAGAACAGCTACAAACATACAGCAACCCAACATTTATGGGTGTGTATCCACGCTATAGTAGCGACGAAGCCTTATGTTGCGACCGCAATAGTGCCATGGCGATGTACGGTGGTCGCAGCAGCTATAGCGTCCAGACATCTTGCGCCACACGACGCCAAACGAAACGACGATTTTACCGCACGACCGTCCCGAGCGTGTTTGTGCCGCCGTCGGAAACTCTGCTCGGGCAAAATTAGCCACGCTATCGCGTGTACATAACTTATGACTAGCTTTGCAAGTACTACAGCAAGGACACCAAGCTTTTTATATTCCATGTAATGACATTTGCATTACGGACATGCTCTCTTCACTTTCTTGCGTCTTCTGTGTCCTCACGCTCTGACAGCCTCCGCCGTTCATGCAAGCTTTCGAGTGCCTTGGGTGTGACTATAAGGAAACCGGTAAGATCGAGGCCGTCACGACAGCACCTTGCTGTTGGACTGACCAGCACTGGACTTCACTACAAAGTTGACGGCAACATGCCTTCGCTACCTGCCGTTTACAGCCGCAATCTGAAGGACAACATACTATGCACGGATTTCCTGGATCATACGTTGGACGATTCTAAACGACAGTGTGGTGGTCTAGCTCAATCAACCTGCGTACGCCCATTGCAAACAGGATTTCGGCAAGACCTGATGCACCGGCAAAAGGATAATTGCGAGCATCTCTTCTGCAGCTGTCCGTTTGCTCAAGCGACTAAGCACAGCTCATCATCCACTGAAAGCTAGGCGCTAGAGTGCAGCGTGTACGCTTGCAATGTTAGAAATGCGCATGTACAGGCTCGAACCAAGCCGCTTACCTCATCAACATCCGACGGATGGTAGCCTACGGTGAGAGGTGCCCTAACACAACGTCGCGCCGTCGGCGCCATTGTTCTAATCATAACTAAGGACTTTACAGGCATCTTGTCCTAAAGAGTGAACAGACATCCTCAATCTCTCTTGAACAAACTTTCTTGCGTCTTCCAAGCAGATATTGTAGAAGCACTCAAAGGCGGACAGTGTTGTTGCTAGAAAACACACGCATTGCATTTATTTGCTTGCGCTCTCATATGCTTAGTGTCCTACATGTTCGTCGTATATTTTGGCAATGTACAAATATAATGCGTCACAGCACAAAAAAACCATCGATCGCCTCCATCTATCAAGCGTGCTGGTTGAGAGTCCGCGTCGAATCTAAATCTTCCGGGAGCAGGCGGACATTCGACCTCATTGTAGACGTGGTTGAAAGTGGCAAATTATCCTTCGGAACTGGTAGCCGAAGCTTCGCGAGGCGGAGACGGCGGTCGCGGCGCGCCTTGATACTTTTAGCGCGAGGCTGGCGAAGTGGCGTGCCGCACACGCGGCAGAAGCTGGCATCATGCTGGTGCAGCCGTCGAAAGCAACGAGGGCACTCAATTACTTCAGTGAGGATGTCCTGAGATCCTGTCTGATTCAACACTAGTGGACAGGCAATAATCCCATAGCCCACGAACATGACGATAGTAGCTAACATGCGACCCAGAATCGTTTCTGGCGAAATGTCACCATACCCCACGGTAGTCATGGTCACCACGGTCCAGTACAAGCTGATAGGAATGTTCGAAAAGTCGTGGCGGTCGCCTTCAATAAGATACATGGCACATCCAATGACAATAATCATCGTAAATAGCGCTACGAGAAAAACCGCAATACGTCTCTTGTTTGACTCAATATTGTCACTTAGCGCAGCACCTGCGTCCACAAAGCGAGCAAGTCGTAGCAAACGGAACACACGCATCACTCGAAAGATCCGTAGGACCGCCAAGTGCAGCAACGGTCTTGCATCTGGGAGAACAAAGCCCAAATACGACGGTATCAGTGCACACATGTCGATGAAACCCATCATGCTTAGCACATATCCGCTTGGATTACGAAGTGACATTACACGCATCAAATATTCCACCGAGAACACCACTGTGAAGAATGCTTCTAGCGCCAACATGTAGTCTCCAATGTCGTCTCTACACACATCCAACAAGTTTCAGTACCCCCCCACTGTCGCTATTGCTCCTGCATTAAAAAAAACAAAAAAATACCTACCGGATATCGTCTACACTGTCCAGCACAGCTATTCATTCACCACGCGAACCAACACATAGCACGCCATAGCGTCAGCACACTATCTCCTTTCTCTATCCATCCATTTGCAGAGGGTAACTCACCAACCACAATACTCATTGAAACCATTACCAATAGCACCAGTTCCACGCGTTGACCCGTAGGCGTTGAGCTCTTGAACATAATCTCATAAACGCCTTCCCATCCACTTCTTGCACCGCCTTTTACCTCATTGTCCACAACAATACCATTCACACGAAATTGAATATCATGGGCCAGTTTTTCTGTCTCCATTTTCTCACTAGATGTATCAGTGTCCATATCATTATCCTCTTCTTCTTCATAGCGCTCTACTGGATTAAATTTTTGCGGTTCCTGCTTCTGTTCCTGTTGCTGTTGCTTTACATGACCAGATTCTAGATTATTAGAACCATTTGGTATCGTTGTAAATCCTCCTGGACTCATATCGACTGCGCTATCGACGTGGTCATAGCTCGTCTTCTCCATCTTACGCTCCTTCAGATGCGACAGCATTTTTTGGGCAAGTGTTTTGCATGTGATTGGATAAAACAAGGATAAAAGGTCATGTGGACCACGTTCTGTGACAAATATGTAGTCGACATCATTTGAGGAAAACGATCATACGTGTCGTGAATTAAACCTAATTTGATGGATGAACGGCTAGAATAGACGAAAGTAATCAACATGTAATGCCGAGATGCTCGATGACAATGAGTTGGTTGGCTAGTTACTGCATGGGATGAATGGATGCATAAATGGTGTTTTGAGGCCGATATACTGTAAGTATGAAATAAAATTCGGTTGACCAGCGAAACTGAGCTCGATACATACATGTTTGTAGCGAGGATTTAGTATGGTCATCAATGGTGAACCACCACCAGTCCAATTGTACTGTATCAGTTATCAAGATAGAATAGTACTTGGAAACTAATATGCATTGAGACTAGAGAAGCACTGAAGATTACAATGCAGAGTCTTCCGAGAGTTACGTGAACGAAAGGCCTTTGCAAGAAACTACTTAAGTATCGTTGTTACCCACCGAATTCTGAGCACAAGCAGATTTAGGTTGATCTCTGAATGATCAGCATGAAAAATGAGACAACGTTGATCTTCTCTTTCAACAACACGCAATGGCACTTCCTTCCCCAGCTTATGACTGGAGTAATTCCCACTATATCCTTCAAGTCATAAACTAATTGAAACAAAATGCACTGTGAGGTGTAAACTCTTTTGGAGCTTTCGGACATTGCAAATCTAGCCGTCACGTGCATCAACTGTTAAGCCTGTTTGAATGCTACACTGTGACGTGTAAGCTATTTGACTCTACGTTGCGTGCGACGAGCGAGCAATGTACAAATCACTAGTCCAGCAGTGACAACAAAGGTATAGTCAGTAGAGATTCGGCAGTAAAGAATTGTCGTTGCCATTGACAACAGCAAGCGCGATGCAGGTTAGTATAACGTTGTCCACTATAGCGCAGCTGAGTGAAACGCAATCAAGTGGCAAAGCGATCAATGTTGTTCATAACGATGGATTGTTTCATAACCGCATGATGGCGGATTAAGCTCCTTGTGGTCGTTCTGTGTCCGTAGCTTCATCCTTTTGTTCATGTATAGAGACTAAGGAAGTTCTTAGACTGATATGGTACTTGAAGCGGTAGCACAGCACATGCACATTTGTGTCAGACAAAGCGGATTTACGGTGATTACGGGCTCTTCGCCCGTCTGCTTCTTGGCATTGAAGTGTCCATCCGAGCAGAAGTGACGTCAATCAATGACTTTGCTGGTATTACCGAGCCAGGACGCAAGGTACCTGTGTAATAGTCACGACGTCCTAAGGGTCACGCACGTCCAGCGGAAAGGCGGCACTTATTTGATCGAGAATAGCTTTGGTCGATCATGCATAGACAGTGGCAGTTATGACAAGTCCATGAAAATAAAGCAGACAAAGTCAATAATGATAGAGATTATTAGCGTAGGGAGTAAAAAGGTTTCGATCAATGGATCCGTAAGCGTTCTGACGCTGCGTAGCGGTCTCGACTCACGAGCCGATCGGACTTCGTGACGAGCTCGTACTTTTACTGTCAGTAACGTTGCGTCCACGCAATTAATCACGTGCAACATGGACTCCAATCGTCGTCCATCATCATCCACGTACGCGTCGACGAGGAACGTCTTTGAGTCGGCCGCACAAACGTCCATAATCAGCACCGACGTGTTCATCCGTTGACAAGTTGTAAAGGGCGGAGCAAGAACTTCTAAGGTATGTATTCTATCTGCCATCTTGCATGTAAAGTATTAGGTAAAAAATCAAGGGCTGCTTCAGCACGTTGAAGCCGCTCAAGCATCCTACATACAGCAGCTGCAGCTTCAAGGCAGAGACTACCGGTAGAATTATCATGCGGTGAAAGGAAATTCTTCACTTCTTCAATCTTTATGGTCTCTAAGCTCTCTCTCTCCTCTCTACTTGGGTTGACACACAAGCTGCAAGCACATAAGCCCGACTGACAATTAGCCCATTGTCAAGGCAACTTGGCCACGACAAGAGGTGTACTTGTTAGCCTTGCGCTCTACGCACAGACGTACGCACTCGGTGAACATGACTAGTAGTCTTGACTTCAATTGCCATTGGGTTCATTAAATATCTCTCCGTGGGCTATACGAGCCGCAACTCGTCGTTCGTGCCGGAAGTGTGTGACAGTGTTAAAAAAAGAAGGCCGTGCAATCCATAAATGAATCGGACCAAGCCACGCAAACCCACTCGCCACGTGGCAACGCTAAGAGAACCGGATCGCTACGCTGATGTTCCTGTCGCTGCTGCTGTACCCCTTCGCTCACTTGATGACGGCGAAGCGCTCGCTCTGCGCTAGTAATAGTGAATCAGAGGGGTCCTTCTGCTCCGTCATGTCGTAAATATTCACATAGTAACCCTCTGCAATTGGCATACCCCAGTATACGCGGCGCCAGCGAAATTTTCCATCGTTTGCCACGCGGTGTGCAATCGTGGTGGGTACAGTCCACGCCACATTGCACACGTCAATTCGTACGCATTGCACGCTAGGATCCAGCGCCTCCCATTGCACATCAGCGGCTTGTCCTCGGACCCAACCAGGAAACTGTGGGCCGTCAGGCGATGTGATCCGTAGTCGTTGGTTAAGACTGCCACCAGCAGCTTCCACTGCCTCGCAAAACTGTTCATCCCCTCCATCCAACAAAGACGGCAGCATTGAGCTAATCGATGACAACGACGAACCTGTGGGCGTATGTTGACTGCTAAAGCTGGTCATACTAATATCGCCACTGCTATTCACGTTCCCATGATGGTAAGTCTCACTGACAGAACGTCGTCGACTGCGGCTACGATTGTGCCGCCTCCGACCACTTACCCAGAGCGCTGGCATAGCGTGAATCTGGTGCGAAGGTGCTGGAATAGTGGCTGCCGTAGCATCAAAATGGTCATCCTCACTCTCACCCAAGTCATCCACGGCATCCTTATCCCAATTACTTGATTGTGATCGGCAACGCATGGACTTTGGTGTAGAACGTCCACGGCCGCCCATGTGACTATCCTGGTTACTAGTAGATAAGAGTGATTCACTCGTGTCAATAGCCGATGGCACTTTACGAGGTGAGGCGGCGTTTAAGCACTTGAGGGTCATGGATCGACCTCCTGCTCGTTTGTTTTTCGATTGTTATTATCTACCTGCCAATACAGAAACAATTTGATAATTGACTGACGAGACGAATCGATGACCAAACACAAAGGTCGTCGTCTTCCTTTCTTTCTTACTCTTTCTCTCTGTAGGTTTAAATATCCTCGAGCCGGCAAAGCCCCCAATCGTGGAATGGAGAGCGGATTCGACTTTGACCGGAGGGAGCTGCAGTGGCGCCATTGCAGGGGAAGGGTGGGCGTTCGATTTCCACTGACGCGACCACGGCACGCGTTGCGGCTTTGTGCGTTTTAGGCCTGGTTCTGTGCGAGAGCCGTGTTTTCACCCCGCGTCTCCTCCCGCGCCTTGTCGCTGACCAATAGTAAGCGCTAGTCAGAGGGTATAATGCCGGGACAGAGTGTGCCACGAAGACCCTCGCATAGCTGATCCTCACCTACCCTGTGAGTAGTAATAATAAGCAAAGATAAGAGAACGTAGCAGAAGTCGTTGATACTAACATCACGCTAGACTCGTCACAACACGCTTGGCGGAATGAGTTTCATGATCTCTCCCCTTCATGTCTTATTGCTGCAACTGCATCTATTATAAAGAAAGACTAGACGGGCCAGAAAACGGGTTATCTCGGCTCATAGACGGCTCTTCTGTCACAAAAGGCAACTTGTCTTCTTGAAACAAATGAAATTGCCTCCCCTTGCCCGAAGCGGCATGTACGCTGACGTGCGGATCTCGGTGCTAGTGCTGCATCGTGTCGTAGTTGGCCACGCCAGTCGGATCATCTGCAAGCAACAGTACGGATCTTGACGTGCGTCGCTGGCTTTTAAACGGATGAGTGTCCCCGCTCGCTAGAAGATTTGCATGGGCCGAGATTGGCGAAACCCCCCTTACCGTCTCGTCTTCAATTCAACATTGCAGATACCGCGAAAGTATCCGACTTGTAGCACCTCCCATGTTAAACAACAGATCGATCTCTTTGTGATACACTATGATTGAACTTGATGGACACACGTCAGGGGAGCTCAGAGACAATGGCAACGGACGTGACCGTGGGCAAATTTTTGCTCTGGCGTGCGAGCTCAGCGGCCACTGGCCCTTCCACGAGCGTAAGGGCAAACAGAAACCGATCTTACCTTGGTGCAGCATTTTTTTCGATCTGTACCAATACCGTCTTTGCTATCAGTAGTGATTATGGTGCTGGTAAGAAGTACATGTGGTGCCACATTTGGAGTTGATTGAATTTTGCTGCTATCGAATGAATGGGTGTATGCAAATCTCCAGTCATGAATACACATATACTGTACTTTCCACTGCAATTGCCAAGGCACCTTGGCGAAAGGCTTTGAGCAACTGCCACACGCATTGACAGTTCAAGTTGCGTCAACGCCTTATCCGGAATTTCAAGCATTAGAAATGACCGATATATATATTGGTAGTATTCATTCGGACCAATAGCATTATACCTTTAGCATTCGATCAAATGTAGCAGTTCAATAATGTTCGTATCTCAGAGGTAATCTTGCCGCTATCGCAGCGCATTCTCGTGGAATTTGTGCTACACGTCTTGGTGTTGAAACCAAGTCTTGGGCTTATCATAGTCATTTTAATATGTGAGTAATACGCAAGAAAAGACAAATATCCCACGCAGAGGTCGTATGAAGCTGCTGTACAACAGTAGCGGAAAGAGGGTGGAAGGGGACAAATACTTGCGCTACCTACACGCAGTCCAATATGCAGCCACCGGCAACTTTAGGTCTTGGACTCGAGTATTTTCTTTCGTTGACGATTGTAAGTACAACAGGGTTGCTGTCACACCTTTGCGCGAGGACCATCTTTCCATAGTCAAGTAACGTTTCACACACAGCAATATATTCAGATGAGCAACTTTGTTGGCTTAGTAGGTCTACGGTTGTCATTGCAATAAGCTGTTGTGATTATCGTAAGCTGTTTTTCAGAACCCTGACGTTTGTCATTTTTCATACATACATCAAGTAAAACGACCGCGAGCTCTGTAAAAACTTGAACAAAGTTCGTTTTGATGGATGGCTGGCTCACAGTAATTGGAAGTGCCCCAACCACCAAATCAATCTGTACGACCAGCGAGATAATATTGACGTCTGTCAAGTCATGCGCCTCTAGTAACCATGTTGTGGCAGCAGTTGTTGTTATGAGCAGTGGTTGCGTGATCTGTCATCGTACTTGACAAGGCTTTTTCATCAACTAAATAGAGGTCTCTTGACCATCGAAAGAGATTCTGACTAAAACATGGATGCGATCTTCACTTCCTTGACTGTATCTATTATAACTTAGACTGCTGAGAATATTCGCAGGAGCTCTATGTGAGAGTTGTCATCATATCGGGCAAATGGAGGAAGGTTGCAAATATTTCTAATCTTAAGAGAGTGGTCGTAAACCAGTGGTCGAGAGCATTTTTTGGTAATGTCATTCCATACGGGACGACTGTCACATACATTCGGTCCACCCGCGTGAGTCTTTTGTGGCTGCGCATCGAGTTGCCGATAAGTAATCTCCATACATTTTTAATCTCGAATAGTTGATACGGATTGGACTATCAACTGTCACACTCTCAGTACTAATTCAGCAATCCTTATAGAAAACTATTCATTCTACAAGGTTACTTAGTATCACACAACCAATCGCGGACAAATCGAAACACTTCCTATCGTGGACGTACTCGATTATCCATTTTCACAATTTCCCTTACTACTAAATATCATCCTTGCCAATTCATAACGTTATACCGTGTCCATGAAATGACGAGTCCACTCGGCTTCCATTATTCAATCAGTCTCCATAGTTGCCTTCCATGACGTCTTCTGGCGAACCTACGGAGACAGACGCCTTGTTGTCATTATCTCCCTCGAATATACAAGTAAATGTCTCAGCTACTAGTGACGATGATAGTGATACACTCTCTTCTGGTCAAGACGTGGTCGCTAGTGACGCACCAGGTCGTCACTTTACGGCCTTGACACGCACTGCGTCATCCCTACGCTCTCCCTCCTCAATCTTTCGCTCGCCTCTTGTGCCTCATTTTGTCCTGGATGGACCAAGTGGGAAATCCGCTAGTCGTCACGCAGCACCGTCATGTCATTTACCTCAATCTGCGCCTCAAGCCTACGGCGTCCTACGGACTCATTCGTTTCCAAGCGACTTGTATTCTGGAGCTCGGTTCTCTCGTTTTGAGATTGAAGAAGCGTTACGACAACGTAATGGGACAACGTTATTGGATTGGCTCAAGGGCAAAGGACGTAATCCATTCTCCGCAGCCATGCGGAAACAAGAACAAAAGGAAAAGGATCGAGAAAAACGTACCAAGGCACAACATCGAGAGTCATTCAGCTATGACTTTTTTGAATCTCGTGTCAACATGCAACACGACCAAGAACAGACGGAAGGTGCCATTCGGTCACTGAATATTGCACGCTGGGTCATGACTTTTCTTGTGGGTCTGGGCACGGCTTTAGTTGCGTGTTTCGTCGAGTTCTGGACATCGTTATTGTCGACATTTCGTACGTCGACGGTGGAATCACTTGTTGCTGGTGAGGTGGATGGATCGCACAGCTTTGGCGTTGGTTACGTTTTCTACGCACTGATTAGTGTAGGATTTGTATCGATAGCAAGCTACTGTGTTGCTATTCTTTGTCCAGTTGCTGGTGGATCTGGTATCTCGGAGATCAAAGCGACACTGAACGGGATCAAGATCCACCGTGTTGTGCGGCTGAAAACGCTGTTTTGCAAGGCGTTTGGCATCCTTTTTAGCGTAGCTGGCGGACTACCGAGTGGTAAGGAAGGCCCTATGATTCATAGCGGCTCAATTATTGGTGCTGGGTTATCACAAGGCAAGTCCTCAAGCTTTGGAGTGGATACGAGCTGGACCAAGTTCAAGGGCTTCCGCAACGACAAAGAGAAGCGTGATTTCATCTCGTGTGGCGCTGCTGCTGGTGTGGCAGCTGCATTTGGTGCTCCCATTGGTGGTGTTCTGTTTGCACTTGAGGAGGGTGCCTCCTTCTGGCACCAGAACCTTACGTGGCGTACGTTTTTCTGCGCCATGGTGTCCGCATTTGTCTTGAATTACTTCATGACCTTTATCGAGGCCAATGAGTCGGCCGAACCGACACCTAATGTGGGGCATGGGTTCATTGGCGGTACCTTGGGTACGCAAACGGGAACCTTTTCATTTGGCCAATTCCAAGGCAGCATGGCCTACGAGGCGCTTGACGTTCCTGTGTTCATCGTGATGGGTATGATTGGTGGACTCGCAGGAGCTGCTTTTAACGGTGCCAACATGGTATTGACCCAGTTTAGGAAGCGTTACGTGACTCACCGCTACCTGCGTTTCGGTGAGGCTTTGCTGATCGCTTTCAGCATGGCAACGGCATCGTTTTGGCTGTCTTACTTTTTTCGGCACGTGCCGCAACCTCGCTGGCGACTATAGCGACTCACTTTCGCGGTTTTACTGTCCGGAGGGTCAGTTCAATGATTTGGCGTCTCTTTTCACCGTGAATTACGCTACGAGCATGAAGCAGTTGCTGCACTTCACTGGTGATGACAGCTTCACGCCGTTTTCGCTGTGCATGTTCTTCGTTGTGTTCTACATGTTCGCGTGTTGGACCTACGGTATTGCTGTGCCATCGGGTTTGTTCGTGCCCAGCTTACTCGCTGGCGCAGCCTATGGTCGCATTTGTGTGATGTTCGTTCACTACCTCGACTTCCCTGTGGGCGCTCAGGATGGTATGTTCGCTCTAATTGGTGCTGCCAGTATGCTTGGTGGCATGGCACGTATGACTATTTCGCTGACGGTGATTATCCTTGAGTGTACGGGCGTGATCGAGTGGGGTCTTCCCATTATGGTGTCCCTTATGGCTGCCCGTTGGGTTGGCAACAGTTTCAACGAGGGTCTGTACGACATCCACATTCACTTGAACCATTTGCCATTTCTTGAGTTCGATCCGCCTTATTACGCGCGTTTTCTGCGTGCCCTTAACGTCATGAGCTCACCTCCAACGTGCGTACCGCAGATTGCCAAGGTCGGTGAGATTTACGATGTGCTGAAGAATTGTAATCACGGTGGTTTTCCAGTGATTGTGCCCCGGAGTCAGGATGCTGCAGGTGGTGGGCAACAACCTAATCTTAGCGCTAAACGAAGGTCTCCTCGCTTCTCAGGTATAATCAATCGACACCATTTGGCTGTGCTACTTCAGCGTAAGGACTTTTTTGTCGAGAAGCCAGAACCCTTTGTTCGCATTCCTGCCGGTGACACAACGCTATTGTACAATGACCAGTACGCGCTTTCATATCGGGACATGGAAGGCAGCTATCCACGATACCCATCCGTCAGTGACATTCAACTAGACGAGGAGGAGCGAGGTTTGTGGATGGATCTTACACCATACATGAATACTACGCCGTACACTGTCCAGGAGCAGACTCCAGTACCGCGTGCTTTCCGTCTGTTTCGATCATTGGGACTACGTCATCTCATTGTGCTGAACCGGCGTAATGAAGTGCGTGGACTGATTACACGAAAAGACCTGACACCGGCGCATCTCAAGTTTTGCCTTGAGGCACTGAGCGAAGCGGAGAAGCAGCGTATTAAGGGTTATTTCCATCGCGATCGCTGTGGGTCAGAGCGATTTGAAGACGTGGAGAAGAAGCTGATCAGGATTAATGACAACTGGTAAACCAGAGGTGAACTGGAGCAGTGACAGCAGCTAGGTATTTGTTGCTGTTGGACGTCCTCTAGTGTCGAAACTTGACAAGTTTTGACCAACACTGGTCACCAAAGCAAGGTGACAATGGACCCGAGAACCATTGACCACTCAACATGTCGCTTGGTAATGATCATGTGAATACAACATGTGTGTCTTGTGAGCTATCCTGAGAATGGTCTGCAATTGTTGCTGACATCTTTCCTGCCTTCCACATGTTCTTATTTGATCGACAAAGGCAGACAATCTTCTATATGGTACGTAGTTAAGGTTTGCAAGATGTTGGGTAGATCCTAAGCCTGTTTAGCAACGCCGGTTCCTCGGTCGAGTCTGGCGGCTGTACGGGGCTACTCACCTGTTCACGAAATAACACGCATAGAGTTGATGGGGACATTATGATTGAGGACGAGTGACATGGATCAACATTCGGCACAAGTTTGAGCTTATAGAATATGTTGAGGATGATGACCATTCATCTACATGTTGACGATGATGGTGAAGTATCGGGCGTTGAGGTGGAAGGACCGAGTGAGCATTTAATTGTGCGTTTGAATGAACACTCGATCGTGGTGGTATCTCCCTTGGCAAGGGCATTATCTATCAAGCGCGTGCATCAGCGAGACCGCGTGACATGTTTTCCAAATCAAATCGTATTGACAAGAACGTTTCTTCTCCAGCTCAGCAGCTCACGTCTTGTCGACGTGTTTCCTATTGTTACGGAGCGACTGTGGTTCATGAAGAAGAGGTTGGTAAGGGAAGAAATGATCGGATGAACTAGTAATATACATCTCTGAAAGAGCCTTTTGTACTAGTCTCAATGTTGTTTTACTTTGCTCAATTCTACTCTTGTCTTTGTAAGAAATTATGTACATATCCTACGGCACTAACGCTTGGATCAGCATAGTTGTCATATCAAACGCTTTCAAAGTGGATGCCAAGCACAGCAGAAACACAGGCAGAAAGCAAACGCTGTGGTGGAAAAAGGAGTAATGAGTCCCATCAACCACTACGAAGCATGCCACCCGCAACCTTACTCAAATACACGCTAGGATCTGCAGTTTCAACGGAGGTAATGAGCCCCGATCAACTGAGCCTGCTGGTGAGATTCGAGTAAAGTCTGCTATGCCATGACAAGAGCGAGTAATGAACGCTCTGAAAGCTTGACAACTCTCGATTGAGCTTCTAATCGTGAGCACGCCGTAGCTCGGTCTGCAAATCGTGTACCTTCATGCCCACGCGAGCTAGCGAGGACAAAGAGCTGCCATACCGCTTATTCGCACTGCAACGAGATGAAGCGGATGGCGTGGGGTTGCGGCACGGCGTTTCGAATCCATTCTGCTTGATTCGGCTTTCAAAGTGCCGTCGGCTAACACTTTGCGATCGCCGTTTGCCATCAAAGTAATCGCTATCACGTGGAAGCCACGCAGACGATATGTCATCTTGCGGGTTCACCGAGATAGTGTTGTCTTCAGGAACGACGCCCTCCTTCTTGACGCGCTTCTTCTCGTTTTGTTCCCTCTGTAGTACGCCTACGATGTTCTTGACCATATTGTGCATTGCTTCAAAAGCACGCACAGTCTCAGTGAAAAGCCGAGAGCATTTACAGTCAACATCGTCAACCCAACGAAGTTGGTCTTTTGTGCGATCAGATCCACGCGACGCTGATTTCCAGGCACTTTGTTTACCGTATCGTCGGTGCAGCTCTTGAGATTGCGTCAATAAGTCACCCCAGCGCTCAGATATTACGTGCATCCGGCGTACTAATGCATCCAGCTGCAAATTAGCTACCTCGGGTCTTTCCTCCTTGTCTGAAGCGTTGACTACAGAGCCACGAACAATCGGACTGTTCTCCAACCGCTTATATGTCTCCGTGATCATGTGCTGGGTTTGTTTCAGCTGCTCCTTCAACGTCTGCTCCACCTCGCCAAATTCACCACCTCGCTTCAGCTGCTGTGCGTATTTCATCGCAGCAGATTTGAACTTTTCGATGTCCTTATCGCGGCCAGCAATAATAGCATCTTTGTACGTTGCAATCGCCTTCAGTAGGTCTTTGTTCTCTCGAACCGCTTGCCTGTACTGCTTCCGAGCATGTTCGACAGATTTCCGGCGCTCCTGAACCTCCTCAAACAGCAACCGATTACTTTCCTTCAAAGCATCAACGTCGTGTTGTGCTTCCTCACGAGAGCTTCGCTTCAGTGCCTGAATGTTGCGATTCGCTCGAGCAAGCGCCTCCTCTGCCTTGGTCATCTTGGTCTGGAAACACCGAATGTCTTCTTCAAGAGATCGTATCTTCTCTTCCTTTTGCATGCGCAAATCTTCATATCGGGTCGACCATGTGCTTGAAATCCTCTTCTCGCTTTCGTGAAGCTTATGCTCCCAGGACTCACGCACCTCCTCTGCCTTGGTCATCTTGGTCTGGAAACACCGAATGTCTTCTTCAAGAGATCGTATCTTCTCTTCCTTTTGCATGCGCAAATCTTCATATCGGGTCGACCATGTGCTTGAAATCCTCTTCTCGCTTTCGTGAAGCTTATGCTCCCAGGACTCACGCACCTCCTCTGCCTTGGTCATCTTGGTCTGGAAACACCGAATGTCTTCTTCAAGAGATCGTATCTTCTCTTCCTTTTGCATGCGCAAATCTTCATATCGGGTCGACCATGTGCTTGAAATCCTCTTCTCGCTTTCGTGAAGCTTATGCTCCCAGGACTCACGCACCTCCTCTGCCTTGGCCATCTTGGTCTGGAAACACCGAATGTCTTCTTCAAGAGATCGTATCTTCTCTTCCTTTTGCATGCGCAAATCTTCATATAGGGTCGACCATGTGCTTGAAATCCTCTTCTCGCTTTCGTGAAGCTTATGCTCCCAGGACTCACGCACCTCCTCTGCCTTGGTCATCTTGGTCTGGAAACACCGAATGTCTTCTTCAAGAGATCGTATCTTCTCTTCCTTTTGCATGCGCAAATCTTCATATCGGGTCGACCATGTGCTTGAAATCCTCTTCTCGCTTTCGTGAAGCTTATGCTCCCAGGACTCACGCACCTCCTCTGCCTTGGTCATCTTGGTTTGGAAACACCGAATGTCTTCTTCAAGAGATCGTATCTTCTCTTCCTTTTGCATGCGCAAATCTTCATATAGGGTCGACCATGTGCTTGAAATCCTCTTCTCGCTTTCGTGAAGCTTATGCTCCCAGGACTCACACACCTCCTCTGCCTTGGTCATCTTGGTCTGGAAACACCGAATGTCTTCTTCAAGAGATCGTATCTTCTCTTCCTTTTGCATGCGCAAATCTTCATATCGGGTCGACCATGTGCTTGAAATCCTCTTCTCGCTTTCGTGAAGCTTATGCTCCCAGGACTCACGCACCTCCTCTGCCTTGGTCATCTTGGTCTGGAAACACCGAATGTCTTCTTCAAGAGATCGTATCTTCTCTTCCTTTTGCATGCGCAAATCTTCATATCGGGTCGACCATGTGCTTGAAATCCTCTTCTCGCTTTCGTGAAGCTTATGCTCCCAGGACTCACGCACCTCCTCTGCCTTGGTCATCTTGGTCTGGAAACACCGAATGTCTTCTTCAAGAGATCGTATCTTCTCTTCCTTTTGCATGCGCAAATCTTCATATCGGGTCGACCATGTGCTTGAAATCCTCTTCTCGCTTTCGTGCAGCTTATGCTCCCACGACTCACGTTCCATCTGAAAGCCTGACACCTCTTGGCGCAGCCGACAGTTGTCTTCTTCCATAATCTGGCGGTCTTTGTCCAATGCCAGTAACCGCTCGTTGTCAGCCTTTAAACCATCTAGCGATGTCGTCAACTCTTCATAGGCCGTAGTCAGCTTGACATTCTCCAGACGTAACCGTTCTGTCTCGCCAACAGATTGTCGTCTCTCCTTCGCAATTCTCTCGATGTGAGCCTTCAGCCTTGCGCGCTCCTGTTTGACGCTTTCGTCCACCATCGCACGCCGCGATTTCTCGGTGAGTTCAGCATATTGTAACCTGCTCTCCAACTTCTTGATCATGAGTTCATGTTCATTCTCGAGCATACGCTTCTGGTGCAATTCCGACTCGAGTTGCTGAATAGTGTCCAGAGCCACTTGCTGATCAGCTTTCAGGCTATCAATTAACTGGGTCTGTTCTGCTGAGGATAACCTCAGCTTTGCATTCTGCAAGCGTGGGCTTTCCTTCTCGCCAACAAGTTGGTGCCTCATCGTTTCCATCTCTCGTTCGTTCAAACTTGATCGTAACTGCATCACATTCGACTCTAGTTCTTCACTTCCAAATCCAAGGCCTTGATTGAAACGTTGTTCCAAGTAGTTGGTCCGTAGTGATAGTGGTGGGGATGGTGTCTCCATTGAAGAGAAAGAAGTAGTGGAAGTGTTGATGTGAACTTGACGCGAGATTATTGAGAATGACCAATCTTGTTTAGGACGTTTGGTTTGAGACTTTGAAAGTCGCGCGCGTTTGAAATTGTACGCGCGTGTTTTTGATGGATTGATGGATTGACTGCTTTGGTGCGGTCGATGAAAAAAATGGGTCTTGTGTATGTATAGCATTGATTAGTCATTTGAGGACAGCTGTTTCACTTGTACGTTTTTTGCATACTGTCATGTGGAGTGTGGCGAATGCTCTTTCTTGTCGTTTTCTTTCATTCAGCCTCTTGTCTTGTGTTTATTATTGCGGTCACTTATGGGTCGTGTATCGACGGCAACTGAATCTTCTACAATGCAGAAAGGGCAAGTGACAACAGTTGCATAAAGCTGCCGTGGAGTAGCAGAGACGCTGAAAACACATGTTTTGGCCATGTCCATGCGCGCAAGTATGTTGGCAAAAGCTCAACTGCGACTGGACTAGCGAACGATGGGAGCTGGGACGTCTTCAGGACTTCCTAGCCACTGCTGTGCAAGCGAAAGAGAATCAGATCGATCCACGGTAGTACGTGGACATCCAAACCGTGCTTGCCTCGACGAGGCGGGCGCATACGTCAATGTGTGGCGGCGCCTATGGATCATCCTGAGCAGCATATGCATTGCTCGCTTATGGATACAAAGAAACCAGGCAACGTTTCAGCAGTCGAACCTGACCATCGAAGGCAGCGTGCAGGAGACCTAGGAAATGAATGCAACATTTACGTGCAATCGGTAAGCGCGAGAGCCGATGCGCAGAAACGACCATCAACGGTGCATATCGGCTACAATGCCGTCATCTTCGAGAGCCGTTACCGCAGGTGACTATCCCCGTGCAACCACTAGACTCGACCGCGGAACCGGCGTTGCTAACCAGTCATAGGATCTACCCGACATCTTCAAATCTTAACTACGTACCAATAGAAGATTGTCTGCCACTCTCTTCTTATTGATGTCACTTATGGCTGCAGAACTTCTACATTTTTGATGTCATTGATGGTTGTAGAACTTCCACATTTTGATGTCAATCAAGTTGCTTAGGTACTTTGTTGAGACATATGTCAGCATGCCTTCGCCTTTCTTGTCAATCAGACCGATTCCCGCCTCGAAGTTCGATTTGACACGAACATCGAGGCGGGAATCGGTATGTCAATTGAAAGCTGCCGATTCCGCGCTACCAACCGGATCGAGCTTCTCTCATGGTGAAGATGACACCCTCGTGTATTTATTGAGTCTAGAACGTATTTGCTGCATACTTCATTTGACATGGTGTCACATGTACATTGGTCTTGTTGGTCGTATCAATCAACATATACATTTTGTAATCTCAGAGGTATATTACACCTGTCAATCATGCCAAGTGCATACCACGTCGCAAAAGATGCCGCAAATACTACCGTCCAACATAACATCCCACTTCACATCTTCCTTCCTCTGCTTCTTTACACAAACACAATTCCTACCCTTTTGCATCTTGCATGTTGATGTTTATGGCACAAGCGGATTGATTGCCGAGATAAAGAACAGGACGTAGTGCACAACCTGATGATAGCAATTCTTCTAATTATATAAGCTACGGCCTCAATTATTGCTTTTTTGCAGCACGTCAAGTGAAAGAATCGATCTACAATATGCCGCCTCATAAGGATACATCATCGACGTACAGAACTAGTTCTGTATGTTTTGTAACCATTTGTAACATTAGCCTTAACGAAAATACACTTGCCTGCCATTTAACATCAAGTATGAAGCGTAGGGCTGACATCATAAATGGAGGAGACTCAGGGTATCGTGATTGCAATAGCATTCAAAGCACGAATGAACGAGACTACAAGCGTATGCATTATGTAGAAGAAAGAACAAATGATATTGGAATTGCTATTGCAACTGTAAAGACATTGGCAGATGAAAAGGAGACGGATCCGCACCGATTAGCACAGCGTCAAAAGCAGATTGATTATGGTAAGAACACAATTGGGTACGATCGCTATTGTGCTCAAGTGCCAAGGAGACAGCGTCACCCAAAGCAACATCCGATGACACCAGACAAGACCATGCGCATCGGTAAGAAGGGTTTTGATGGAATCATACGCAAGTGGCGACAAGCGCTGCACAAGTACGACCCGCCAGAACTAGCAGAGGCAACCAAGGCAATGACGACAGATAATCAGAACATAGTAACAGGAGATGCAGTGGCCAAGAACGTTAATGGTGGTGCAACAAAGAGTGTAAAGTTGAAGGAGGGAGCAGCAATGACTTCCGCTTGTGCTGCAACGACAACATTGTCAAAGTCCGATGAGAAGACTGCGGTACGACCAGAAAGCAACTTTACTGGATCTACTCGCTCCATTTACGAGAATTTTAATGAGGACAATTTTGACGATGACGAGTCGGATGATGATTTGTTGTAGATTGACTGGTCACGTCGAGGACCAAATAATGAATTGAGTCCATCCATTCAATTGGTAAATCATAGTGCAGTGTTTTGCCAAGTATTACACTACGTTTGAGCTGCTAGAAATTGCCGCCGCAATGTTAACGCCTCCAAAAAAAGATCAATGTCCAAGCTATCAACGTTGCGCGCAACCCGAGCCACTAGTCGAACTTCAGTCTGTCCTTCCTGCAAATAAAGTTCATACATGATAAATGAAGCCACAGATACATGTTTCTCAATACAAGCACATCCAGTACCTTAGTCATAACATATGTCTCACCCAGAAACTGGTACATGGACCCAAGTTGCAATCGCAGATTTTCAAGTGCCAATCTTTGCGTCTCGATAGTCATTGAAACGTTCTGGAAAGACACTGTTGCCACTTTAAGCTGTGCATCGTATGCATACAGTCTCCCTGTAATCCTCACTGATCGATTCTGGAGCTGAGGGTCTGTTAATACCTCTCCAATCTGGCAGATCTCGCAGCATCCTGGTGGTGCGACCATTATGTCAGGTGGCAGTTTAGGTCAAAAAATGACCTTCAAGCGACATTAAACGACCAGTCGAATGTTGCTTGAAGACATGTTAGCAAGCTCCACTCAATCAAAAAGACTCAAACATAATGAGTAAGTTCAAAGGGTTGAGGTCTACTGACAAATGACCGAGGTTTACCTTAAAGAATCCAGATCCACCGTAACCAAAGTCGACCAATGAGGGATTAGGGTTCGACCTTCAAGGACAACT